TCAGCTCCAGATCCTTCTTTGGAGCCAGAGCATCCACAGGGACCACGGCCTCTGGGATTGCCCCAGGCCCGGCCGTGCCAGCTCCAGGCCCGGGGCCAGGCAGACAGCCAAGCCCATCCCCAAGAGTAGCAGCCAGGGCTGGCACAGCACGGTGCGGGGTGGTGGGGGGCTGGGGCTGATGTGCAGAGAGGGAGGGGGACAGAAGCATTTGGAGCTGAGATTGAAGGAGAAAAGCTGGAGGCTGATCCTGATCCAGCATAAACTGAGCAGAGTTACTGGCATCGATCTTTCAGGTAAACCCCAGAACTCTCTAATCGTGCCTAGAAATAGGTTTACCGGGGTGTGTGTATGTGTGTTTTCTTTATTCTTCTTCTGCCTTTCTTTTCTCCCTGCCCCTGACTCCATTGAACTCTTTTATGCCCCTTAGCAGAAGCAGGAGAGCAGAGTCCTTGTGAGGATAGGGAGACAAGGAGCTGCCTTGGGGAGTCCTGCATACTGGGACTGTCCCCCACCCCCCACCCCCCAAGAGCTGCCCTGGCCAATGGAAAGAGCACTGTTCTAGGAGCACAGAGGCTTGATTCTGTCCCCAACTTGGCAGTAACAGCAGCAGCTATGATAAAGGTTAACACTTAGTGAGTCCTTTCTATGCGCAGAGCATCTCAGTGGATTATCTCATTTACGTTATCTTGAGGTCCCCCTGCCCTGTTTTAAAGTGAACGCTGACAGTCACATGTTGGTGGCATCACCATGATTCTCGTCCAGGTTTGTCTGCTCCAAGAGCTCCTCCTCTTAATGACTCTGCCCTTGTTTTCTCCCTTCCTGGATAGCTCCTTGACCTTGCTGTGCCTCCATTTCTTTTCTATTGCACGGAGCATTTGGGTGTAGTGGTTATAATGCACTACTAAATACAGAGTGGTATTCCTTAATCACAGTGCTCTCTTGCTGATAACATTTGGCTTTGGGGCGCCCAGGTGGTGCCGACGCTGTCCGCTTCAGAGAGGCCGCTGAGATGACCAGCTGGAAAGGCAGTTCCATTAAAGTAGTATAAATGATTTTTAAGCTAGAAGTTCTCTTTTTCAAATCTACAGAGCTAGGACCAAGTAGAAAAGGGAAAGGAGTTTGGAACTACTAGCTGGAAGCTTGCCCCAGGTTAGGGACGGGGGTAACTACTGGGTTCAAGGTGTCCCTAGAACAAAGCAAATACCCAGCTTGATTTTACTCAGTCTCAATCATAAGGAAGTCTTACCTTACGGAGAACCCGAGCCTGCGTGCTTTTGGTCAGTGGTGCATTTGAGCAAGGTCAGTGTTGTAGTTCAAGAGCTTGGCTGGTAATAATAATGACCGATGGCTGTCCTCCATGGTTGGTGGGGGCCAAGGGGCACTGTGTGGCAAGTACCCTTTATCTGCATTTCCTGATGGAATATTTTTTTTTTTAAAGATTTTGTTTTTTGACAGACGGTGAGAAAGGGAACACAAGCAGGGGGAGTGGGAGAGGGAGAACAGGCTTCCCACGAAGCAGGGAGCCCGATGTGGGTCTTGATCCCAGGACCCGAGCTGAAGGCAGATGCTTAAGGACTGGGCCACCCAGGTGCCCCTACTGACGGAATCCTTTCAACAGCTCTGTGAGGCAGATAGCATTTTGTGGGTTGAGCAGATACAGGTTTTGATCAGGGTCAGCCATAATCACTGGCAGAGTTGAGCTTTGATTTCCGAATAGCAGCTTTTAACCATGCCGATGGACCGAAACAGCACTGCTTGAGGGCATCTTTGGCGAGGCTGAGTCCAAGGGCATCATGACTGCCTGAATCTCGGTGGCAGGGCTCTCTGGGAGAGGGCAGTGGGTAGGACGCCCTTCCTGAACAGCGGGCATGGACAGTGCGTTCTCTTTCCAGTGGCTGGTGGTAAAACTTGCTCTTCTGGGATTGCTGTGGTGACTTCAAAGCTCAGGACCCATGTGTTGGTGGGCTTTCCCTCGGTTCTCTGATGGGAGTTGGACTCGGCAGTCTGGCCTAGTGCTAAAGGTGTGTTTCTCAAGACAGACATTGTGTGATGTTGGATGAGTTACTTTGTGCCTCAGTTTCCCTGTCTTTAAATGGGGTTGTGGTGAGGATATATGAGTTTTAAGTCCATAAAATGCTTATTAGCATAGTGCCAGACATGATATCAAGTATTCAATAATTGATAACTGCCATTATTTTAGCCGTAAGCCATCAGCTCTCAAGCCCAGGGAGACTTTCAGCTTTAAAACACTTGAAGTGCTGTCAGCTTGGGACACTGGGCTTGTGTGAGACTGAGCCTGGGGAAGGAGCTGGGGGCACAGCTGTTTTCCTGGGGAAAGAGGTAGGCACAAAAGGGAGGCCATTGAATAATCAAGGGGCTGTAGTCACCACCAGATCTGAAAATATTTTCTTCTGGCTTGAGATCATCACTTGCCTCAAACACTCACCCAGCGTGGGGGCCTTTCACAGATAGGGACCAGAATGGAAGAAAGAGATCTGACCTTCTGGTACTTGCTGATTGATCATCTGTTCAAATTGATTTTCCCCTCCTTTTTCTCATCTGCTGGGCATGTTAAAAGCCTTCAGGTTCTGCTGTGTCAGGTCATCAGAGATGCTCTTATGTGGAGGGCCGTTTGGGTAAATGGGATTAGGGCCTCTTTCTGGAGGCCCATCTGTTCTGTCCCTACCTGAAGGCCTTGGCGCCAGGATTTGAAGGAAGCTGGTACAATGAAGCATCTGTCCTGTGGGGGTGGAGGTAAGTGGCCTGGGGTAGGTGGGTCAGACAGAGGCCGGGAAATCCTCTTACCCTGCCAGGTACCTGGGCCTCCCTCCCCAGCAGGAGCTGAGCAGCAAACCCTGGTGAGTCAGCGTGCCTGGGAATTAGAATTGCCAGTCTGCGAGCATGTGGGGTTTGTGTAAGTTTGGGCCTTTTGTTTCTTTTAGCACTGTAGTCTTTAGAAACACAAATCTGGAAACCAGACCTTCCACATGGTATAGTCCTTTTTGTTTTGAGATACTTCAGCTCGAACAGTTGCTTTCCTTGTATGCTGGTCTTCCCAGAATTAACCCCTTGCCTTTTAAATTTTAATAGGTTGTGCTTAAGGTTTATTCCCTATACTGTTAAAGCATAAAAAGACAAGAAAACATACTTGGGTCTGTCTTTCCACACCAAAAAACCCTTTTGGGTTTTAGTGGTTTTTGTGTGTGTTTCTTTTTGTGTTTTTTGTTTTGTTTTGTTTTAAAGTCTAAATGGATTGCAGGTCTTTAGAGGGCATGTATGGGCTTGTCTCTCTGGCGTTCAATCTCTTTGAGGGTGAAGACTAGGACACGCCCTGATAACAGTGAGTCTCCGATAAGTTATAAGAATGATTTTGGTCGTCATTTTAAACTGCTACACTCAGAATTTACCCGTAGGATTCCTTTTGAAGATAACCCCAAATTTATCCAGGCACCATTTGGAGGAAATGAAAGCTCTTTAGGTAAAGTTGAAAGGTCCATCCTCTATAAAAAGCGTCCTCGGCCCCACTGCCTGTCTCCTAAAGGCTTTGAATTTGGATCATGAAGGGCCATGAATGCTGCTGCTTAGAGCTGGAGAGGCATGGGACTGACCTTGATTTTGGTCCCCGTTACCTACTGTACTTCTGGCTCCTGTTCTAAAGTTCATTAACATTGTGAGTTTGGTGGCTGCAGCTATTATGGCTGCAGGTAGACTTTTCCTACTAAGTTGTAGCTGGATCTTCTCGTGGAGTGGTTGAAGTTAAGAAGAGTCCTGGGGCGCCTGAGTGGCTCAGTGGGTTAAGCGTCTGCCTTCGGCTCGGGTCATGATCCCAAGGTCCTGGGATCAAGCCCCGCATCGTGCTCTCTGCTCAGCAGGGAGCCTGCTTCCCCCTCTCTGCCTGCCTCTCTGCTTACTTGTGATCTCTGTCTGTCAGATAAATAAATAAAGTCTTAAAAAAAAAAAAGAGTCCTGAGAAGACAGAGTTAGCAGAGAAATCACCTCACCCCTGGCCAGGAAATCTCTAGCAATTCTTTTAAAAACACTTTTAAATAGCATAAGTAATAAATAAACCACCATGATGAGTTTGTAATATATCAGTGCAGATTTCTCTTTTTTTTAATCTAGCAATTATTCTACCATTTAGAGACATTTGGATAAATCAGCCCCTCTTTTAAGGTGGAGACCCTCCCTTGGAGGACTGAGCTTGCAGGCCTTGTAGGACCTTGCTGTTTAGTGTGGCCTTGGCTTGTACTCTTCATGCGGCCTCCCAGAGGACCTGGTAGGGGGAGAACAAGAAACTGGAGGACCGGGAACTGTGGCTGGTGTTTGGCTCCTGTGGGTGGGCAGAGGAAGGGTGGAGAAAGGGCATTTCACCTACCGTGTGGGAGAGTCCCAGAAAGGAATCTGAGGAGATCAGAGACAAATTTTAGTTTGCTGTTTGGCTAGGACACTGCTTGTAATCCTGACTCTACAAATCCTTTACCTCATCTTTGGGCCATTGTGAAACCATATAGTTGTCTTAAATGTGGCTCCCTTTTCTCCCTACTCATCCTACTTAAAAAGAAAATCTGAGGATTTTGACATGAGAGACTAGAAGATGAACTTTTTATTTACACCTTCTGGCTTAACCCAGGACCAAATAGCTTTCTTATGGCAAGTTGGCAAGACAGATTTCCTCTGGAATATTTCTGGCAAAACTGTAGTCTTCCTTGATGCGTTCTGCACATGAATCAACCTCTTTGTAACCTATGTTACCTTAAGAATTTTAGGAATTTTCTTATTGGTTCTCCATATGTGTCCTAGCCCTGCATTTCCAATGTGAAGGTATGGAGTTTACAGGGGGTGGGGGGATGGCGATGAACTCCGGGTATCTCCCCTGGTTCAGGGTTGGCTCACGGAAATAGAATGGTGCCCCAGGCTGCAGTCCCCGCAGGGGAAGTGAATGGAGTTTGCATATGCCCGTCTCCCTGTCCAGTGGTAACTGCTTTGTAATTTTTTTCTAGGTTGGCTGGCTCCTCTGGCTGATGGCATGTTGAGACACATGGGCCAGTGGCAGCGAGGGCATCTGATCCAGAGGGGGCCACTCTAGGGGCCAGGCCATCAGCACCATGGGCCAGTGTGTCACCAAATGCAAGAATCCCTCATCAACCCTGGGCAGCAAGAACGGAGACCGTGACCCTGGCAGCAAGTCTCACAGCAGGCGGAGCGCAGGCCACCGCGAGGAGCAGCCACCAGCCTGTGGCAAGCCAGGTGGGGATATCCTTGTCAATGGGACCAAGAAGGCAGAGGCTGCCACCGAGCCCTGCCAGTTGCCAACGTCCTCTGGAGATGCTGGGAGGGAGCCCAAGTCCAATGCCGAGGAGTCTTCCCTGCAGAGGCTGGAAGAATTGTTCAGGCGCTACAAGGACGAGCGGGAGGATGCAATTTTGGAGGAAGGCATGGAGCGCTTTTGCAATGACTTGTGTGTTGACCCCACGGAATTTCGAGTGCTGCTCTTGGCTTGGAAGTTCCAGGCCGCTACCATGTGCAAATTCACCAGGTTAGTCACAAAAACTTCATGTCACCAGGTGAGCCGAGGAGGACAAGTGCACTTTTGGGCAGTGGGGCCCAGCTGGGGGAGAACCGGGTTGGCTTCTTAGGCTTTGGGGTAAGTCGTTCTTTTTTTGACCCGTTTCTCTAAAGCTGGTGCAGCCCCAGAAGAACAGGCAAGGACCATCTTTGCCTGAGGTTAAGGAGTAACCCATGTGATGCCCTGGGGCCACACGCTGCTGCCCAGCCCCACTGCCCTTTTGGGACCTTTAATCTTTCTTCCACCGTTTTGCTTGTTCATTCCCTCACTCCCTCACCCACTGGATATTTATTGTACGCCTCTCGTGTGCCAGGCACTGTGAATGCCGGGCTGGGGAGCACCTTTGGGGAGCCGCCTCCATCAGTGCACCGAGCCCCTTGCCCCTTCTGGCTCTGCACGCATGGCCCTCGGCCCGTGTCTGTGTCAGCAAGGACAGTTGGCCTCGGTGAGCACAGTCGTTGTGCACATCGCTGTGGTCACGTGTCCCTGTAGAAGTGGTTTGTGGGGAGGGAGTGGCAAGGTCACCCCAACATATGATTTGCAGAGCACTGGGTTATAAATAAGAATTGACTTTGAGCCCCGCCCCCCCAAGGTAGGTTGCCCGGCAGACTTCGGATGCCTTCTGTCTTCAGCTGAAACAGCAGTCTCTGAGGTGATCATCAGTGAGAGACCAGGTTGTAACCTGAACGTGTTACGTAGATGTTAAAAATACATATGCAGTTTTCGTTTTTTAATAACAGAACTTTGATCTCTGGAGCAGACTTAGGCAGGTTTATCCAGAATCTTTGGCTCCAGAGATCTCTCTTGGCAGTCACCAAAAATATTCCAAAAACAAACAACCATAGAGAATCAAAAGGAAAGCAGGAAGACTCCCCGTCTGGGAGGGGGGTCTGCAGCTTAATCACTGCTGCAGAGTGGGAGATAGGGCGTCGGGCAGCGGACTGGAGTTTTGCTTTGAAAGGCTGAATAAGTGAATGAACCAAACGCCTTCAGCTGCTTACCATGTGCCAGACACTGTTAGAAGCAGTTGACACATATTTTTAGTCCTCACCAAAACCCTATGAAGTAAGGTGGTATTCTCACCATTTGACAGATGAAGAAATAGGACTAATTAATGGAGGAGTTGGAATTCAAAGCCAGGTCATCCAGCCTCAAAGCCATGCTCTTACTTTGCTATATTGCTTCTCAGCAGATGATATTGTTTATAAATATTAATTGTGCCCCTTCCTTCCTGTTGCAGGAAGGAGTTTTTTGATGGCTGCAAAGCAATAAGTGCAGACAGCATTGATGGGATCTGTGCACGGTTCCCTAGCCTCTTAACGGAAGCCAAACAAGAGGATAAATTTAAGGATCTCTACCGGTTTACATTTCAGTTTGGTCTGGACTCTGAAGAAGGGCAGCGGTCACTGCATCGGGAAATAGCCATTGCCCTTTGGAAACTAGTCTTTACCCAGAACAATCCTCCAGTATTGGACCAGTGGCTAAACTTCCTAACTGAGAATCCCTCGGGGATCAAGGGCATCTCCCGGGACACCTGGAACATGTTCCTTAACTTCACTCAGGTGATTGGTCCTGACCTCAGCAACTACAGTGAAGACGAGGCCTGGCCAAGTCTCTTCGATACCTTTGTGGAGTGGGAAATGGAGCGAAGGAAAAGAGAAGGGGAAGGGAGAGGTGCACTCAGCTCAGGGCCCGAGGGCTTGTGTCCCGGGGAGCAGACTTAGTGGCTCTGTTCCAGGAGCAGCAGCAGCAGCAGCAAGGATCTGCCTGCTGCCCTGCAGCCAACCGAGGAATTGGACCTTTCTGGAAATTACTGAAGATCCAGATATTTTCTACTTTACACCTTTCTCTGCCTTGTATCTGAAAGGGCTCTAAAATGCTGTATCATGTTTTAGGCACTTTCTTCACTTTTTGGTTATTTTGGTTATTTCTTTTGGGGGGGTTCCCCAAAATATTTGAACCTGGCTACATGTTGTGTATTTTTTTTTTTTTTTTTTTTGAAGCCTTCAGATAGAATAAGCCTGCCATTTCTTGCACAAATTAGATTTCTTTGTGGGGGAGGGTATAGAGCAGGGAGGGGGGAATGGGACAGTTAGGTTGAATTAACATTACAAGATGATACAGTGCCAGATCTCAGTTTTGCATATTCTGTTTTTCAGGGCAGGTCTGTACTGTGTGTAGTGCTGTTTACATGGTTGAATTTAGGTTGTAATAATTATTTTAAAAGATTTACACAGAATTGAATAGCAGTGTTAACTGTTAACCATACTGCATTAATTCCCAGGCGATTTAAAGCTCTTGGAGAGCCAAGGCCAGCCAAGAGCATTTGTAGTCTGGTGACAACCCCCTTTAAAGCTAATTTATCCGAAACCCTTATTTTCTTCACTTCTTGCTCATTCCTTCTTTGACCTATTGCATTTCATGTTGAGTTTATCCATCAACATGCTGCACCTGTCAGTCAAGTGAGCAGTTTTGGTTTTTTGTTTTTTTTTTTAGAACACATAGTACTGAGAACCACTTAAGCATTGAATGCAGAGAAAGCAGTGCTACCTCAGTTTTGCTGGAAGTAGACTTTGATAGTTTTCTTTTTTTGATGAATTTTCTGTATTTTCATGTTATAAGTGAAAATACTTTTTTTTTTTTTTTTTTTTTATTTTTTCTTGGTGCCAATGTTTCTTTTCTTGGTTAGCGCTAATTTTTGTCTATTGCCTTTTTTTTTTGAAGGAATTTTTTGTTTGTGAGTTTTTTTTTTGTTTTTTTTTTTTTTTTTTTTTTTTTTTAAGTTTTTTGAGTATCATCAGCTTACTTGTCTGGCAAGTGCAGATGCCTGGGGCTGGCCTGAACTCTGCCAAACAAATATAGAAGTGTATTTAATAGTTAAACGTGTGCCCTTTCCCTTCTTGCTGCACCCACGTTGTCACTTAACCCCCAGGAGTTATTTATTATCTTCTTTGTTAATGTCAGGCTCATTTGGGGTAATGTGATGACTGTTTAGGTTTACATGACCCTTCTCTCCTCCCCTACCCCCAAATATGTATATATACATATATAAGATATGTATATATTTTACCTATATAAAATATATATATACACATATATGTATCTATATTCCTTTGTTTCTTTGCCTGCTAAAACTGGCCATAAAAGAGGGAGCTGCCTTCAATATATAAAGCATAAGAAGAGTGCCAGGGAGCGTCCTAAATGGAGGTTTTTGAATCTGAATTTGGACCATCCTCACTAAAGAGAGGATGAATTTTCTCAGCCTTTTCCTCACAAGAGGGAGGCCCCCAGACTTCTCCATGTGCTTGCTCCATAAGGCCAGCTTTGGCCAAACTGCCACACAGGAGCTGACTCTGGTCCTACCTGGTTTCAGTAGAGGGTCCTCTTGTTATTTTTCCATTAAAAAAACATGTCCTCAAAAAACTGTACTGGAAGGGTGGGTGGCAGGAACTTGTACAGTTCAGCTCCCAACACTTGGGAACAGATTGAAAAGGGAATCTTTTAAATAAAAACTTATAAAATATTTATACTCTTGAGGTAATGAGAGTTTGTCTATTAAACATTGCGAGTTTTCTTCCCTAACTGCTTCCATCTGCCTCCCAGGTATATGTTTCTCAGCCTGGGCAGGAATTGCTTATTTTGAATTCCTTTATTAGGAACCTTATGGCTCTAGGCTCCCATCTTTCCAAAGACGATTACTTAGGGAGTTTCTGCAGTCGATGTTTTTCCAAGATTGACATTGGCATAAGAAATGGTTGAAGTTTGATTTCTTTTTCTTCTTTTTTGAAGATCCTAAACCTGGCAGTTGCCCCTTCTAGAGGGGCAGAAGGGAAACTTTTAAAATCAGCCACAGCAAGTTAGCAGTACTGCTGGAAAGCTGAAGAGGGTCTCAGTTCAGATATCTGGCTTTATTCTAGCCTGACACAAATTCCTTATATAAATAGAGTTTCTAGGGGCCCCAGCAGGTTCTGTGGGCTCAACTGTAGTCAGGGTGCCCAGACTGAAGTCTTAAAGATACTATACTGCCTTCTCATCTAGCCAGTCCTGCAACCCCCAGTTTTTCTTGACTGTAGACTGGGTAGAGGTTGAAAAAGGGAAAAGGCAGGCTGCATCTAGCCAGGTTAAGGTTCTCTTCTTAGATTACAAGGGTATATGGAGAGAAGTGCACAAAAGGGCTTGGCACCGAGGGTCCTGAGGACTCTGGAGGAACTGGATTCCTTCCCCGGCCTACAAGGTGGCATTCCATGCATTAGGTGTGCTAGAGTGGATGGATTTTGTTAACTGTTCAGCCTCCCCATCCCCCACAAAAAGAGCCATTAAATTATTTTTGGTTATACTTTAATGATCTGTTTGTTACAGAAATGCAGTTGAGAAACCGGAAGAGGGAGCAGTTAGGGAAGGACTTACAGGTTTTATCCAGGTTGGCATTCCTGATGCAAGGATTTCCAAGCTTCTGTAGTGGCTGTGGGCCAATGTCTGACTTGACCACACAGGAAAAGCAGTTTTTTTGCAAAGGGATTGAAGATGGGGTTTGTGTAGGGTTTTGTAGTCACACTGTCGAGAAATGAAATGTCCCTATTCCTTTTAACCTAGAAATAGGTTTGCTGTTTAATGAGTGAGCCGTAATTGTGCGGAAGATGCCAGATGCATGCCCCTCAGGTAAGCCAGCGCTCTCTTCACTTTAACAGTGTAACATCAGGGTGGTGTGAAGAGGGGCAGGATGTGGACGCCATTTTGAAAATAGCAAATTACCTGAAGGTGACTACAAGAAATTGAATATGGATTGGGAAATCCTTGGTTTTTGGCAAATGGCTTTGAGTTTGTGGTGTTTTAGGGATTAGAAAGCTATATGAGATGAAGTGTTGCTTCATTGAAATGCTTTTCCCCCATTCCTGCCATATTTGAATGTATCATTAACCCAACCCCTGTAATGACACTTTGCTATGCTTTAGCTGGATGCCTCAATAGTTTCCCTCATCTGTGCCAGTTGGGTCCAAGACCCCCTATCTAGTCTTCTGATAAGAAAAATTAGAGCTGGGTAAAGATCCAAATTTAACCCAAGCCCAGAGGCCCAAAGAAATCCAACTGGAAATGTAATGTACAAGTCAGTGTTTTCAATATTAAACTTCCCTAAGGAAGGCACGAACTAGCCTTCTTGGAAAGGAAGAAGGGATTAAGCCACAGAGTATTTATTAGTTCATCATTGATACAGTTCTGATCTCCCAGAGACTCATGCCAAAATTCAGTCCTCAGTGCTGGAACCTGCAGGGTGTGGAACTCCATAGTTCATGTGATGGCCTCAAATGCTATACTATGCCAAACTGCATTAAACAACGGTGGGAAGTTACTGGGATAAGGACTTGGGTCTAAAAGTTTAAAAACCAAAACATCTATATTTAGGACTGGTTTGCCACATTTAGAGAGAAGTCTTGAGTGTAGGGGAAGCCCAGGAGTAGACCCAATTATACCATTACAAAGGCTGGAGAGAAGCTGCTGCTAGGTTTGTTTTAGCTGCCTGCTTTGCTGTTTTTCTTGTGTCTCTTAATGTTTGCTTAGTGATACTTGAACATCTTGGTAACTGACAAAGGTCTTCCCTTGGAGGGACTTGAAAAATACTGGTAACTGACAAAGGTCTTCCTTTGCTGGGACTCTAGCAGTAACTTGTATAAGCAGCTGAAAGGACTATTAAAGTTATTAACGTGTGTTAATTGGGTCTCTTTTGAGGACCTATCTTATTGATCCTCCTCCTCCATAATCTGTTGCTGAATCCTAGAGTGGGTTCCCACCTACCCCCTTCCAAAAGAGTTTATTATTTCTATGGTTAGCTGTAATTATAGCATACATCCAGTTTAACCTGGACTGGGGGCTGGGTTTTAATGAGGATCTGGAGGTGTTTTTCCTTATTGAGAGTTCTGCTTGAGCAGTGGTTGCAGAAGCCAAGATGATTCAAATAGCTTTGAGTAACCATCAAGTTCTGCTTCTGATTCAGGTGCTGGGGCCTCACATCCTCCCTACTCCTCTTGGAAACTAAGCCTGCTTTCATAGATACCTTCTTCCACCACCTACCTTCCCTTTTTACTATTTACTATGACATACTCTTGGATATTGCCAAAGGAAGCCATTCAGCAGATGCTGTGTCTCTCCCCACCCCCCCCCCCCTTTACTCCTGGATAAGTGTCTTCCCTCTGACTCTGGTCCCCAGCCCTGAGTCTGTAATTAATTGTTCTTACCTGTTGCACTAATGAATATGATTCTAGGTTTCCAAGGGGGGTGGACTTGAAACAATAGGCAAATGGGGACTTGGATGAATTGGTCCTACAGATACCCTGCCTTAACCCACTGAGGTGATGAGTCTGCTACTCATGTGACCCTCCACCTTTGTGGATTCCTCTTGGTTTGTGACCAGTGTGTCTGTTTCTTGAGGATGTACAAACTTGTTGACAAAGGTCAATACTTTTGTTTGTATTCTCTGCACTGTTGCACTCTCCAAATGGCCCCTCAAATATTTTTATTAACTTGTTACACACACTTCTGTCTTTGTCTACATTTTTCTTTTGATGTTTTATTTGGAAGGTTACCTGCTGTTGGATTTAATAAATTTGTTTACTTGACTATTGACAATTCTGAGAGAGAAAAATACCCCCACAAAAAACCCAACCAGTGACTTTATTCTGGGGCGAGATTTACCCATCGGGAGCCTCTTCCAACGTGATACTGGATAGCAGTTCCTTTGCTTTGGAAAATAATCCAGATGGTACAGGATCCTCAGACTTCAAACATGGATGCTGACTTCCCACTTACCAGCTTAATGGCCTTTGGGGTCCTGATACTTGTAGGCAAAAAGCAAATGAGTCCTCAGAGGGCCACTACCTAAATAGTCTTATGGTAGCAACTGATGTGGATTCCCATGAGGAACAAAAAGTGAATTTGAGTACTGTGCTAATGGATGGCTCCTACGTCTATCAGGCTGGCAGTGATTAAGGCAAAGGAGACAAGCTGAAACTGTCAAGTGCCACTGCTGTGTGACCTTTGGCAAGTTAGTGAAATTCCAAGTTTCCTTATACTCATCTGTAAAATCAAGAGACTTAATTCCATCAGAGGGTTAGGATATAAGTCTTTAAAAAGCACCTAAATCACGTAAGTTTAAGGTTTCCTAAAGGATGTCAGGTGAGTAATGCAAGGAATCCAGAGAGGAAGAGATGGGGGTTGGCATGGTAACACAGGACCTTTCAGGTCACTGCCCCTCCTGGGGGCTGAATTTCTCTCTGTGCCAAATTGAGGGTGGAGTTGGGGGCGGGCTGCTTAGACTAACATGGTCCCTGATGGCTCTATTTGGCTCTTACATCCTAGAAGTCTGATTATGGTAGACCAGTTATGACCCTTAGCTTCCTTTCATTGTATTTTCTGTCTTGTTATTGTTTATATTCAGGAAAGCTATTGGCCAGCCATCTTACTCACTTCTTTGATGGAGGCCCTAATGACCTTCCCAAAGATTTCCAGCCTCATGTTGGTACCTCCTAAAAATAAGTAAGTACAGTGGTGGGACTAGATGTGCTTTTATTTTTCCTTTCAATTGGAAAGGACTTGGGAGTCATGGCTACATCCTTTAGCTAGGGAGAAGATTAAAAAACATTTCCTCAATGAACTGGATTTTTTTTTTTTCCCCTTTTCTCTTCTTATTACCAGGGTTAGCATCAGATGGAGGCTGGAAGGAAATGGGGTGGGGGTGGAGGGAGGTTACTTTTTTTGCCTCTCTTAAAAGGTCTATCTCCAAAACAGGTACTTGCTCCCCAATTGGCTCTTGGGCTTGTGTCTTCTGGTCTAGGGCCTTTCTGACTTGAGCCCAGCCAGGGCTTTAACAAATAGTTTTGGGGAATTAGAAAGTGAAAGATACTGACTTGGGTGCTTATATAGAGCCTGGAGCTATTCAAGGTGTTGATATGGTGTTATACAGATTATATATGGCTAAAATCCAGTTTCTGATTAGATGAGGGGCAAGCAACGTCTTCCCACCAGAAATGAACTTAACTGTATGTAGAATGGACTTTTTCTAGCAAAAAAAGGTTTAAGAATGTAGTCCTGAGGGTCCAGAGAAGTACAGAAGAGTCACCTCAGTATTGGCATCTTCTTTTTCCTCAAATCCAGTTGCCAAAAGCGCATGGCTGGGTTGGCTCTGGAAGTCCCATTTTAGCTCTGGGTTGTGACCTACTTAGTCTTGGGGAAGCAGAGGTAAGAGCCAGCCTAACCTCTCCATTTCCTCTCCTTTGTTGTGACTTTTTCAGGAGGCCCTGTCTTACGAAAGCCATGACACTTCTCTGGGCTTAATGTTCTTCCTATGTAATGTTCCAACCTTGATTCTCTTGCCTTAGGGGTGCTGAAAAAGTCCTAGTGGAATATGGCAGCAATGCAATCAAGAGCAAGGCTCTGACTAGTGTTTTATAATCCATGCTGATGGAGACTCTCCATGGCCCTGTGTTTTATCTGGGGTGGTGCTGCCGAACTTGCTAGTATATTTAAAATAAAGAGCTACAAAATGGTATGGTACCTAGTGTAAGACAAGACAGAAGAAAACACTCAGGCTCTTGTATACATGGACTTACATAGTAAAGGACACATTCTCCTTGACTGGATAAGTAAAGATAGATAAACAGGTAAAAATCTAAATACTTGGGGGAGAAGTTGCTGTATGCCAAAATGAATTCGAGGAGGAATAAAGGTGTAAGTGTAAAAATTACATTATTTAAAAAAAAAACATAGGGGGTGCCTGGGTGGCTTGCTCAGTAAAGCATGCCACTTGATCTTAGCTCAGGTCTCATTCGCATAGTTGTGAGTTCAAGCCCCTTGCTGGGCTCCATGCTGGGCATGGAGCCTACTTAAAAAACAAGCACCCCCCCCAGCCCTAACATGCAAAACCATATATACTTGCCAGTGGCTATTAAATTGATCTTGGGATCAGTCAAGACTTTCTGAGTATAAGAGCAAGGAGAAGAAATCATAAGACTTCTAAAACTACCTTAAAATAAAAAACTAGAAACATATTTGCAGTAATCAACAGATGGACACTATACTTAATCCATAAGGAAACCTTAAAGAAAAACAGTTGGCCAAAAAGCTTCTGAAAAAAATAGATGCCAATCTACAGGATATTCAAATAAATAGAAATTTAAAAAAACTTTCCATTACATAAATAGATTTAACTTAACAAATTAGCAAAGATTTGGAACATGTCCATGCTAGCTAACACAGTAAAAACTTCTGTGGGGTTAGAACAACCTTAAGTGTTCATACTCTTTAGCTCAATTTCACTTCTAGGAATTTTTCCTTGACAAATTTTTATCAAAGATGTATGTGCAAGGATATAATTGGTTGGGGGCAACTTCACTGTCAACAGCAGGGGACTATTTTAGAAATTATAGCACACAATATGTTGGAATATTATGCAGCTATTAAAAACTGCTTTTGAATGATGTAAAAAGTATGAAAGAAGACTGAAATAGTGGCAGTTGTTGACCCTGAGTGGTAGCATTAGAAGCAATTTTACCTTTTCTGGGTTTTTTAAGTTTCCATTAATTGGTTTTCTTTATAATAGGGAAGAAGTTATTTACAAAAGGGGGAAAAAAAAAGGAAAACAAATATGGCTGAGTGACCTAAACAATTCCATTATGGGCAAGGAGGTCAGAAAACTGGAGTAATATGTTCAAAGCTTCAATGAGGAGTTGTGCAAAACCCCTTAGGAATTGCTTTTCTCCCCCAAATGAGAAGCTGCTTCTCTAGCAGCTGCCTTGGCTGCCTAAAAGGGTGTGGGAGGAAAAATGCACAAACGCACTTATGAATGGAATGTGTGTTTTGCAAGAGGCCAAATTGGCAGCTTTGGCTTCCAAAAGGTGGGAGCATCAGCTGAAAGAACAGTGTGTGCAGACTGAGGCCTCAGAGACCTTATGGTTGGGCCCATCTCTGTAGGGGTCTGGACTTGGGGGCCCAGTGGGAAACCTCCCATCTAGAAGAAGGAAATGGCCTTGGCTATTCCTAGGAGTAAAGGCAGTGTTCTTGGCACGTGGAGCCTAAATTTATTATGTGATCCTGCACTTGGAAGATGCTCCGCAGTAAATGTCACTAATTGAACACTTAATGTGGGTTTTCCCCTAATTTAATCATCATAACAACCTCATGGAGTAGGTACTAATGTCCCCATTTTATTTTTTTTTTAAAGATTTTTTTTTTTAATTTATTTGACAGAGAGAGATCACAAGTAGAGAGGCAGGCAGAGAGAGAGAGAGAGAGAGAGAGAGAGAGAGAAGCAGGCTCCCCGCCGAGCAGAGAGCCCGATGCGGGACTCGATCCCAGGACCCGGAGATCATGACCCGAGCCGAAGGCAGCGGCTTAACCCACTGAGCCACCCAGGCGCCCTAATGTCCCCATTTTAAAAGTGAGGTAACAGGCTCAGAGAGGGAAAGTCACATAGTCCACTATTCTGTCATTTTTCCACAAGCTGGATCTTTGAATTTTCACAGTAATCCTTAAAAAGATACTTTTTTCTCATTTTATAAGCTGTGAAAATATACTCAGATGAGAATAAGTGGTTTACCCAGAAGCAGAGCTGAAGTGCCAGCCCATATTCAAAGGCAGACACTTATTTTGTCTCCGGACTGGAGTCTCAAGAAGTAAACAGCAGCTAAGCTCTTAGAGCTTTGGAGCTCAGCTGGGGGTAGGGAAAGAATCCAGCAACAATGTCTGTTTCAAGATAATCTCAGGGCCTTCACTGTATGTATACCTGGGCAACTCTCCACTTTACAAGGGAGCTTCAAGTTGCAGTGTCTTGATCCTAAATCAAGCTCTTCAGTTCTGGCTCCTGGTTCCCAGCTTTTATATAGGGCTGTCTCCTATAGAAGTTAAATGACTAAACACTGCCTCAAATGCCCAATCTTGAAAAATTAATTTTAAGTATTCTAGTTATAAAAGCAATATAATATTGTTATTTAAAACTAAAATAGCCAAAAACAATTTGGTAACACCTAATTTTCCAGCCCTACCACATTTGACAGACAGCCTTCCAGGTTTTGTTCCAAGCCTATGCATATCTTTTTCTACTATTCTATAACCCTCTATATTTCCTATAACATATACTGGGAATGCATAATCCCATCTTCACAACAATGTTATGAGGTATGTACCATTACTGTTCCAACCACAGAAATGTTACTTACAAGTTCACACAGTATGCAGGAAAGCTAGGATTCAGCATCCGTCTGTATCCAGAGGTCAACTGCCACTTCTTGCAACTCTCTTTTTACTAGAAATTTTATTTACATGCACATAATTTTAAAAAAATGGCTACCAAGAATTGGGTTGTGCTCACCCTGTGGTATCTCCTCTATGTATGTTTGTGTGCAGCTGTACTATAGTACGTTACTACAGAAGTGGAATCGCTGGATCCCAATGTATGGAGTAATTTACAAGGGGTTTTTGGTATGATACATACTGTATCTGGATTAGTTCATCTTTTGCAGAGGGCAGATAAATATCTCTGTTTTGGAGTTGTGTGTACCTGTACCCATATCCTTCCCAACAAAGAATGTTAATATTTTGAGAGCTGATAAAAAAGCAGGGCAGTAGCTTTCACTGAAATTGAAGCTTTCAGTTCTAAGGGGGAGATCTGATAGGGTGGAGGCACCTACTGGTGAAAGGTGACATTGCAATCTCACTTAAGGGAAGGAAGCATTCCTACAAATGGAACGGAGAGCGTGCTTCCAGTGTTGGTAAAAAGCAGTCTTCCACTCTCCTGTGTCTGTGGAGCTGCCAGATTTTCATTTCAGCCTTTCTTCCTTCAATTTTATAACAGCTGTTAATAAGAAAAGTTTGCCTTATAGAAATTTCCTTCATAGATAACCTGATAATGGCTGGGTTTTCTCCACAGCAAAGTCCCTCCCTCTTAGTTTCCTTACCTACATATACCATTTAATAGGAGTGTTACCATGGAATGAGCACATACTACAGATGTGTAAGTCCACTGACACAAAGAAAATACAAACTGGTTTCCTTCTCACCCTGTCTTAAGAGGAGAATGCTCAAATTTTAGGCATTTATTGAAAATGTGAACATGCCATATAAATGGACCGAACTTCTTAAGTGGTACGCCATTTTCCACAAAAGCTGTGTGCTGGATAGAGAGGCTGCAGCCTGACCACATTCTCTGCCACTGCCCGTGAGGGCTAATGGCACATGGAAAATGATGGGCAGACTCACGCACACATGTTTGGCGTGGTGCTTTCTTCTTCATCTTTTATTCCCATCAGTCCTAGGCCAGAGAATGATCCATGAGTGCTGCAAACAAATGAGTGAAGATAGGTTACTAATCCACAGGGTTTAAAAGAATGGTTACAAACTCATAGGTAAGAGGTGGTGAGTTTTTTTGGGTATGTGTATGGGGTGGGGCACAGGCAGGTAAGGCAATTGAACGAAACCTGCCTACTGAAAATGGCTCAATGGAAACAAGTCCTAGAGAACACGGACAAGTCCTAGAGTCCTGGAATCAAGTCAGCTCTGCCATTTAACAGATGGGAGGCATATGTCAATCTAGGGTGAATGACCTCAAAGTGAGCTTTCATTTTTTCAACTATAAAACTATTAAATACTTAAGTTACTATCTCATGGGGCTTTTGTGAGGACTATCTAATAATAGCTAAAATATACAGATCATTTCCTTATGCTTTCCTTATATATCATACAGATGATTCACCAGGTACCAGGCTTTATTTTATAAAGTACTTTATGTGCATTCTCATTTAATCCTTCAAAACAGCTTATGTACCTAAACTAGGTACTGATGCAGGTATAATTGTTCTGTCCACATTTTAAAAAGAATCAAGCTCTTGGTTGTTCAACAAGCTGAGTGACAGAACCAGGTAGTAAAGGCAATCTACCATCAAGAGTCCTTCTAAGTCATGTATGTTGTAAAACACTTGGTCCAGTGGCTGGAATGCAGACATCATCCAGTACATGTTCATCCACCCACTCATTCCAGAATTGCCTATCTTTATGCTTTAGGATTTAACAGGAATTTTTCTTTTAAAGAAAAGATTTTACAGTTGAAAGGGTTTGGAACTCACTGGTTTATTCCAAATCTCTTATTTTACCAAAGGGAAATTGGGACCTACAGTGGGAAAGTGGCTTGGCCAGTTGTCAGAGAAAGTATGTGATAGAGCTGGGACTGGACCCAGAGTTCTGTTCTGTTACTCTTCAGGCTTAGAATCAGCAAAGATGGGGATGGGAGAAGGCAGGACCATGCTCCTGAAATATAATCTGGTCTGGGCCTTGCCCTAGATCTTGTTTGACTGTTTTTACTCAAGTGGGAGATCAGGCAGCTGCTTTTTATCCCACAGAGGCTGTAGGATCTAAGGCCTCTGGCTTTAAACAGGGATGAACTATCTCCCTGAGGGGCTAATAAGTCTTATTATTTAATTAATAATTTAATTAATTTAATGGAAGAGCATATGTATGTGTAAAATGGATATAGAATACCTAAGAATGAAGAGAGGATTCCTTAAGTCCTCATTTATGTGCTGGAATGTCAACAAAAAGGCCTTTCTCTCAGTTGAAGTCTAGAGGCCAGAATCCTGAAGGGACAACCCTTTAGTCCTTACCTCTTGGTTCCTGGCAGCAAGATGAGGCAGAGTGTGCCTGGGCCCAGGCTGTGGTAGAGCTTTCCTATCTTCCGGCCCCAGCGCCAGGCTGCTATCTTTGGGTGGTCCATCTTCAGAGCCTAGGAGCAAAGCCAGATGTTGACACTCAGCTGGAGTATCCTCTGCTCACCTTCGGAGGGGCTGCAACTCTCTTCAAGTTCTAGGACCTTGGGGTCCCAGAAAAGGCTCTGTATAAATCCTCTATCTGAAGCTAAAGCCCATACTTCAGGGTTCCCTGTCCACCCCAGCATCTCCAGGCCTTTGGTCAGTTTAGGAGTACAACTGTTGTTCTTTCCTCCATTATGGATTGGGTCTTCCAGGGCCCTGACACAGAGGAACCACATCACTAATGGCCCCTGCCATTAAGTATCTTTGTGACCTGGGCAAATCACTCAACTAATTCTGGTGTCTATTTCTCATCTATTAAGTGTGGGAGATGAGACGAGAACAGGGTTTCCCAAACTTCAGCCATTCACCTTCTACCTTTACCCTTTTACTTGTGTATCCTAATATTTTTCTTTAAATTTTCTGCCTTCATCTCACTAAAATAGATCTGTGAAGTCATCGGTTCAATGTGATTGTTATACAAATGTTAGAATAAGATCTTAGCATAAAAGTAGGGGGAAAGGTCCATCTATGACCACTAAAAATCATCTTGTGTATGTACTACACTTTGGGAAACCCTAGATTACCAAAGACTTGCCCAGCTCTTTAACCTCCTATGTTAGCCCCTCAAAGTCCCTTGGAGAACCACCTGGAGGATTAAAAGCCTAACTGTAGCAGATATGGAGTGGGCAAAAGTATGAGCTCTTAGAGAAAGAAAAATGTGTCCAAGGGCTGGGAAGCTAGAGAGTGAAATAAAACTAGTACCAGGGGAGGGGGAAAAAAAAGATCCAAAGGCTTAAGTGTCACTTGAGCTGGACTCTCCTAACTTCCATAAACATGAGAAGGCCAACCAATGCCAAGAGCTAGCAAACCAAGGCAGCTACCTCTGACACCAGGATACACTCACTCATTCACTCACCTGTAAGGCCTGCTGCTCAGAGGGGGGAGGTATGACACGAACCCCTGGGGGCCTTCTTGATTCAGGAGGCAAGCCCCTGAGCCAAGCATGGAGATGCCTGGGGGTTAGGGCATGCCGGCCTTTCAGCTTCCAGTCCTTGCCTTTGAGAATGTTGAGGGCCCTCTGGGCACTGCCAAAAGTTTTGAATTCTGAAAGCAAGAATAGTCCTGTTATTAAGGGCCACAAAGCCTGGTCACCATCCAGGGGCAAGGGAGGACAGAATCAGCTTAGTTAATGTGGTCTAGCATCCTAGGTAGGGCTATTTAGTGAACATTTCCCTTTTCTGACCTCATGTTAACACCGTCCCTAATCTCCTTCCCCAAGGTCACATTCCATAGCATAGACTTACTCAGGAAACAGTATCTTTTTTGCTTTCCACTTTTAAGATCTTTAGGCAGGATGACCGCTTCCAAGCCAAGGAAGAGGTTGGACTGTTGCAGTAAGTGTTCTTTGAAGGTTTCGCTCACTCCAGACAGGTATATTGTACCTCGGTTCTCAGAATCTTGTTCTAGCTCATTCACAAGAGTGTTAGAATCAAGGGTGAGCTCTGTCACAGGCCTCTGCACCTAACCAAGAAAGATGGCATTAGTGGTACAAAGTCACCACTCGGGTGCCTTGGTGGCACAGTTCATTAAGTCTCTAACTCTTGGTTTTGGCTCAGGTCATGACTTCAGGATTGTGAGATCAGAGCCCTGCACTGGGCTCCACGCTCAACGTGGAGTCCGCTTGGGACTCTTTCCCTCACCCTCTGCCCCTCCTCCCTGCTCGCTCTCTCAAAATAATAAATCTTAAGTCACCACTTCAAACTTTAGGCCTATTATATACTAGCAAGAAACTTAATTCTGTAGTTTCTTTATCTGTATAAGGAGGCATGATAAATGCCTCAGAGGACTAGAGACTTAATACATAAATACAAATGTTTTTGTGTAAACATACTCTCTCCCTTTCCTCCCTGCACAAACACCCTGCAATGGAGATAAGTTCCCTGACTTCTACCCCAATGAAACTGTTGATCTGCATAAGAAACTTCAAAACGCCATTTGATCCCTTTGAAAGCTAAAGGAAAGGGCAGCTACAGAAAAACACCCAGAATAAACCATCTAGGGTCTAAGGTAGTGATAAAAAAATACGAGGAAGACCCCAATGTAGCCCCAGGCTGATTCTGACAAAAATGAAAGCAGTCATGTTAGAAGAATGCTGAGCTTGACTGAAGGCTTCCCAACACAAAATCATCTGCTCAGGCCTCTTGAGGGCTTTTCTCTAAGCTTTTATATACTAGGGCACTATAAATAAAGGCAAAAGGGTGCTGCTTTTTGCTTTCTCTGGCCACTCTACCTTGATGCAGGCACCTTCCACCAGAATGCCATCCAAGGATTCTATGGCCAGCTGGGCAGCTTCCAGGACTTCATATTGTATACAGAGATGTGGCTGTAGGAGAAAAACAAAAAACAAAAAACCCCAAGATTTTCTTATCTCTGCTTTCTGGGCTCAAACTGCTACTAGAGAAGGGACTAGGAAAGGGCCCTGAACTAGTGGCCAAAGCCACCAAAATGAATTTCTCTTTGCTGTGCTGGGCTAGACAGCAACTGTAGATCAACTTTAAGTAGAATCACCAAAGTTCAAGAATCGATTTTTCAGCCAATAAATAACCTTTACTTGTTAATTAAAGTTGAAGTCTTCTCTCCTTGGGTGGTACGGGCAAAGCACTAATAAATGTTTACTAACCACCTTTTCATATTTATTACGAACCACTGAAGACATCACTGCAAGTCATTTAGATTCTCATTTGTCTCGTTAGCCTGTAGGCTTGGGGAGGTTAAGTGCTTCCATTGGATAGGCTCTATCTTCAAACTGACTGCTTTTCTGCTTAATAATGTGATGTGCAGCATCATCATGGGGATAAAAGTGCTCCTACAGAAAAGCTTCATGGTACTAGATTTGGCAAGTTTCCTGAATGTGACACCAAAAGCAGAGGTGATGAAAGTAAGACAAATTGGACTTAATCAGAATTAAAAAGTGCATCAAAGGATACTATCAACAGTGTCAAAAAGCAACCTTATGAATGGGTGAAATTTTTCAAGTCACATAACTATTTGCTATCTAAATCTAAAATACATAAACTAAAACTCAGCAACAAAAAAATCAAAAAACCCAATTAAAAATAGGCAAAGGACTTGAATAGATATTTCTCCAAAGAAGACATACAGTGGCCAATAAGCATATAAAAAGATGCTCAGTATCACTAATCATAGGGAGATGCAAATCAAAACCATGAGCTACTACTTCACATCCATTAGGATGGCTAGTATTGAAAGAAGAAAGGAAGAGGAAGAATGACAAAATAAATGTCAGCTGAAATATAGAGAAATTGGAACCCCTGGCACTGCAGGTGGGAATGTAAAGTTGTGTAGCCACTGTGGAAAACAGTATGGCAGTTCCTGAAATTATACATAGAAATATCATTTAATCCAGCAATTGCACTTCGGGTATACACCCACAAGAACTAAAAAGAGACATTCCAATGGATATCTATACATCTATATTCACAGCAGCATTATTCAGAATAGTGAAAAAGTGGAAACCATCCAAATGTTCATCAACAGATGAATGGATAAAATGTAGTGCATCCCCACACAATGGAATATTCTGTCTGTCCTTGAAAAGAAATGATATTCTGACACATGCTACAGCATGGATGAACCTTGAAGACATTCTGCTAAGTGAAATAAGCCAGACACAAAAGGTGCTGTATGATTCCATATACAGGATGTATAATAGAGTAGTGAAATTCATAAAACCAGAAAGCACAAGAGTGCTTATCATGCCTGGTGGACAGGGACTGAAGAGTTATTGCCTAAGGGGTACAGAGTTTCAGTTTGGGACGATGAAAAGTTCTGGATACATTCCAAGACCCCCAGCAGATAACCTGGAACCACAGAGAGTACTGAACCCTATAAATACTGTCTTTTCATATATATAAGTTAATCTAAAGATTAGGCACAGTAAGAGATTAAAACTAACAATAATATACTGTAAGTTATGTGAATGTGGTCTATCTCAAAATATTCCACTGTACTTACCTTCTTGTGATGATGTGAGATGATAAAATGCCTGTCTGGTAAGATGCAGTGATGTATAGGCATTGTGAGGTAGTGTTAGGCTACTGCTGACCTGATGATGTGTCAGAAAGATCATCAACTGCTTCTGGACTGTGGGTAACTGAAACCATGGATAAGGGGGTACTACTATACTTAATAACAGAACTGTATATTTAAAAAGTTAAAAAGGCAAATTATATATATATTTTACCAAAACAAGAGGAAAAATCCCCAAGACTAAAGCAGGAGGTTACGGTCCCCTGACATATACTTCCCATCCCTTAGGTCCATCTTAGCAGGGAATCTTCTTTTTATTTTTAGGTATGAGAGACATTAATAAAAGATTTGGAGAAAGCACATTTTAAACATCTAGGATTCTGTACTTCGATACTTTGCAAGATGGCAGATTCTTAATTCTCAAAAGAATCAGAGAATCTGGCAATACTGGGTACGCTTTATAGTGAGTCAAGAACTGTGTTATCAAACAGCATGGCTCATATTCCAGCTGGTGACAATCAAGCTCACATCCCTAATATTTGTTGTGTGAATGGCCCCAGGAGGCATCTGAATTTCCAACACTAATCTAGAGGTGAAAATCCAAGTTTTCTCATTTCATTACCTGATGGGTTTCAAGAACAAGAGTCATGGACCGGACTGGGCCAAAGCTCTTAAACAGCCTTTTCAGAGCCCTGAGGTTGCAATTTTTGCTAAATGGCCCAGCATAAACAGTCGACATCTCTGTCCACTTGAGCCTCATCTATAAGAAAAATAGAATACAGTGAGGAGGTGAATGTGGTAAGAGAATTAAGTCAAATCTAAAGAATACAGTCAAACCATGGAATAGTTCTGCTTTAAGGAATTTCTCAACACAAACACTTGCTGAATATACAAAAAATTTGTATACAGGGATTTCACAACTGCATTATTTGGAAGAGCAAAATTTATAAAGCACCAATAATGAAAATAATAGGTATATCATACAGTGGAATACTATATAGCCATTAAAAACACGGGAAATTAAATCATGACTGACATGAAAAGATGCACACAATACACTGCTGAATGAAAAAGTTGCCAAATAGAATACATAAATTTGATTCCCATTTTTAAAAAAAAATATTTTCTAAAATATAAATACATAGAAAAATCTGGAGAAATATAGAGCAAACTTATTAGAGTATGCATACTTTCTGTAATGCAGAGAGATTATAATTCATTAAATAAATCATCTAGCACAACTCATTTACTTACCCTCTTGTTCATTTCCTCAGTGAGGTTGGGTGAAAAGGGTTCAAAAGAGAACTGGACGATGCTGAAGGGAAATAGGGGAATTTCCACTCTGGCCTGCTCAAGAACCTGCAGAGAACAGGAAAAACAAAATGAGGCAGGTACCTAGTGGCTCCTGGAGGTGAGCCACAATAATATAAATAAGGATGCCTTTTTACCCATAGCAAAAAGCAATATGGGGCTGACTTTAAGGTCTAGAAGAAAATGGTGACACCATGTATCCTCCTAGAAAACAGTAGAGTCAGTAAAATGATGTAGGACCCATGCCTTTAGCATTACTAGGAAAAAGAGTCTAACAGAACCTTCAAATTACCTCTAAGAAATAAGCTGAATTTCAGTAGAACTCCCAACATTTTATACTGTTAAAGCCTATTAGTAAAGACAAAGAAGAAGAGGCTTAAAGGACTCTGGGAAGAAATCAAGACACATGGAAGACTTATATGAGGTACAAACAAAATTACCCCCAGAAAGAAAAAGTACAACTAAATGCCAAGATAACGGACACAGGTCACAACTTTAATACTGCACAGCACTTGACTACAGGGAAGAGGGCTGACAGCCTCAGAGAAGTGCTTTTGGGGAAGAATAAGGTATAAAGAGATGAGATACTGCAGGGAAGGGAAAGAAGGAAACAACACCTCTCCCCCATCCAACCTTGTACAATGCAACCCAGAAGAAACCTCTCACACTGGTGATTGTCCCTTGGACAGAAGCAGTGTGGACCTCGCATTCAACAATTTGGCTTGTGTTGAGGCTGCCTCAGAGACTAGTTTCTGTCTCACTTGACTCAAAGCACTGATGGTACTGGAAGCATTGTTTGGAAACTCCTGAAAAGGAGTAATGTCAGCAAGGTCACGGACTAGAAAGCTTCAGGCCCTCAGTCTTCCACAGACACCAAGTTAATAAAGAGACCAGAATACCAGTTTGTTAGAACTCTAGAGCCCAGCTGAGAAGCAACAGCACCAAGACCAACAAAAACCCCAAGGAATTCCAGAAAAAGGGAACGGAAAATATGCAGAGTTTTGTGTGCCCACCTATGTTCCTCCCCTATCCTTCCTATACTCCCTCTGGATGGAAACAAAAGAGGGGGACTCCACCTCCAATATTATGGCTAGTCTGGGGTTGCCTGAGAGACTAGTTTCTGTCTCACTCAACTAGAGCAAAATGGGATAGGCAGCCTTGTTTGGAAGCCACTGAAAACAAATGCAATCATCATAGCACATTAGAGCTGCATTCCACAGGCAGATGCCAAAGGGAGCAAGAGATCATGAGCACTGAGAAGAAAAACACAAGATCCTTAGGGAATCTAAAAGTATACAGGCAGGCTCAGAGAATATATATCCTCAAACTGGTTTGAGAGGTCCTGGAACCTCTAGCTGGGCTAATCAGTGAAAGTCTTCCATTCCATGATGCCAGGTCATAACGATGGGAGAGGTAGTTGTGTGTGTGTGTGTGTTTTTTTTTTCCCCAAATGATTAGGTCTCAATAAAAAAGATTATAAGGCATGCAAAGAAATAAGGAAAAATGGCCGACAACAAAGTAACAGTCCAGAAATCAAACCTAAAGAAACACAGAATGAACTACAAGAGAACAAAGACAAAGGAATCAGGAAAATGCTGAACAAAAAGAGAATATCAACAAAGAGTAAGTATAAAAAAATGAAACACACTAATTCTGGAGCTGGAAAACACAGTAAGTGAATTGAAAAATTCACCAAAGGGGTTCAACATCAGATTTGATCAGGTAGAAGAAAGAATCAGCAACACAAATATAGATCATTTGAATCATGGATCAGAGTTTAAAGAAAAAAGAATGAGGAATGTAAGTAGATCCTAAGATGGGACAATGTCAAGACCAATATACATATAATGGGATCGTGGAAGAAGACAGAAAGGGTCAGAGAGCTTATGTGAAGTAATAATGGCTAAAAACTTCCCAAATCTGAGGAAAGAAATGAACACAGAAATTCAAGCTCAAAGAACTCCAACCAGGATAACTCTAATAAATCTAAAGAAGCCCACTCAAAGACACATTATAATCAAGCTATCAAAAGTCACAATCAAGGAGAGAATCTTAAGAGCATCAAGAGAAAAGCAACTCATTACATATTAGGGAACTTCCTTAAAATTATCAGTGGACTTCTCAGCAGAAATCTTACAGGCCATCATAGTGGCATGATAGATTCAAAGTGTTAAAGGGGGAAAAAAAATCAATACTGTAGCTGGCAGAACTCTGCTTCAAAAATGAAGAAGAGGGGTACCTGGGTTGCTCAGTCCTTAAGTTTCTACCTTCAGCTCAGGTCACGATCCCAGAGTCCTGGGATCGAGCCCTGCATTGGGCTCGGTGCTCAGTGCGAAGCCTGCTTCTCCCTCTCCCGCTCGCCCTGTTTGTGTTCCCTCCCCTACTATCTCTCTGTGTCAAATAAATAACTTCAAAAAATTCTAAGGAGAAATTAAGATTTTCCCAGATTAAAAAAAAAAAACTGACTGGGGCGCCTGGGTGGCTCAGTGGGTTAAGCCTCTGCCTTTGGCTCAGGTCATGATCTCAGCATCCTGGGATTGAGCCCCGCATCGGGCTCTCTGCTCAGTGGGGAGCCTGCTTCCTCCTCTCTCTCTGCCTGCCTCTCTGCCTACTTGTGATCTCTCTCTCTGTTAAATAAATAAATAAATAAAATCTTAAAAAACAAAACAAAATAACTGACAAAATTCATTACAACTAGACCTAATCTGCAAGAAATGGTAAGGGAGTCCTTCAAGATGAAAGAACATTAGACAGCAACATGAAGCCACATGAAAATAGTTTCCAGTAAAGATGAACATGTGAACCAATACAGTAACATCTATGAAGGTAATTTTGGTGTATAAATTCACTTTTAATTCTTATTCAAAATTTAAATGACTCATGAATAACTATATTCCAATGTTAATGAATATACAATCTAATAGATGTGACTGAGTAATTATTAAATGAATATTTACTTATTCGCTTTCACGATCTAATTTACTAGTAACTTTTTCTCATTTTTTTTTTAGTATAGCTGACACACAATGTTACATTAATTTCAGGTATACAACATAGTGATTCAACATCTCTATATGTTGTGCTATGCTCACTACAAGTGTAGCTACCATCTGTCACCATATAATAGTATTACAATATCATTCGCTATATTTCCTATGCTGTACCTTTATATAAAAGTGCAATTTAACAAAGGGGGGGGAAGTGGAGCTTATAAAAGTACAGTTTCTGAATGCACTTGAAATCAAGTTATCAGCTTAAAATAGAATGTATAACTTTAAGATGTTATATGTAATTGCAATAACTAAAAGGAAAATATTTATAGAATACACAAAAGGAAATAGAAAATTATGTCACTACAAAAAAATTAATGGAACACTAAGGAGGACAGTAGAGAGGAAAAGAGGGACAAAAGCTACAAGATATACAGAAACGAAACAGAGTAAGCCCTTCCAATCTAGTAATCACTTTAAAAAAGTATCAGCAAACCTAGATGTCCATTAACAGATGAATGGATAAAGAAGATGTGGTATATATACACAATGGAATACTATGCAGCCATCAAAAGAAATGAAATCTTGCCATTTGCAACGACGTGGATGGAACTAGAGGGTATCATGCTTAGCGAAATAAGTCAATCAGAGAAAGACAACTATCATATGATCTCCCTGATATGAGGAAGTGGAGATGCAACATGGGGGGTTAAGGGGGTAGGAGAAGAATAAATGAAACAAGATGGGATTGGGAGGGAGACAAACCATAAGTGACTCTTAATCTCACAAAACAAACTGAGGGTTGCTGGGGGGAGGGGGGTTGGGAAAAGGGGGGTGGAGTTATGGACATTGGGGAGGGTTTGTGCTATGGTGAGTGCTGTGAAGTGTGTAAACCAGGCGATTCACAGACCTGTACCCCTGGGGATAAAAATATATGTTTATAAAAAATAAAAAATAATTAATTAAAAAAAAAGGTATCAGCAAACTAAATTCAACAGCACATTAAAAAGATCATACATCGAGGCACCTGGGTGGCCCAGTGGGTTAAAGCCTCTGCCTTCGGCTCAAGTCATGATCCCAGAGTCCTGGGATCAAGCCCCACATCGGGCTCTCTGCTCAGTGGGGAGCCTGCTTCCTCCTCTCTCTCTCTGCCTGCCTCTCCACCTACTTGAGATCTCTGTCAAATAAATAAATAAAATCTTAAAAAAAAAAGGATTATACATCATGACCAATGGGATTTATTCCTGGAATTCAAGAATGGTCCAATATATGAAAATCATCCCATGGAATATACCACTTTAATGGAAAGAAGGACAAAAACCACAAGATCATCTCAATTGATGCAGAAAAAGTATGTGACATGATTCAATACTCTTTCATGATAAAAACACTCAACAAACTAGGAACAGAAGGAAACTACCTACTAGAATAAAGGAAATATGAAAAGCCCACAGCTAATATATTCAAAGGTGAAGGTCCAGGAGACTTTCAGACAAACAATGATGGCTGCTCTTGCTACCTCTATTTAACATAGTATTGGGAGTACTAGCCAGAGCAATTAGGCAAGAAAAAGAAATAAAAAGCATATAGGGGCGCCTGGGTGGCTCAGTGGGTTAAAGCCTCTGCCTTCAGCTCAGGTCATGATCCCAGGGTCCTGGGATCGAGCCCCACATCAGGCTCTCTGCTCAGCAGGGAGACTGCTTCCCACCCCACCCCACCCCTGCCGCCTGCCTCTCTGCCTACTTGTGATCTCTGTCAAGTGAATAAATAAAATCTTAAAAAAAAAAAAAACCATACAAATTGTAAAGGAAAAAGTAAAACTATCTTTGTTCACCTATGACATATAGAAAACCCTAAAGATTACACCGAAACAGAACAAATGACTTCTTCAAAGTTGAAGGATATAAAATCAAGACACAAAAATCAATTGTGTTTCTATACACTAAAATGAACAATCAGAAGAGGAAAGTAAAGAGGAAAAAAAATCTCATTTACAAAAGCATCACAAAAGAATAAAATTCTCAGGAATAAACCTAACCAAGGAGATGAAACACTCGTAATGCTAAAAACTACATAACACCGTTGAAAAGAAATTTGAGAACAAGTAAATAGAAACATTCTCATGTTTACAGACAGAACACAATACCATTAAGATGTTAATAGTACCGAAAGCAACCTATAGATTCTTTGCAATCCCCTTTAAAATTCTAATATCAATTTTTTCTACTATCTTTTTTTTTTTTTTTGCAGAAATAGAAAAAAATCATAAAATTCTTATGGAATCTCAAATAATTTTGAAAAGAAGAACAAAGTTGCAGGACACAAGGTTCCTGATCTCTAAACATAGCACAAGTTACACTAATCAAAATAGTATGCCACTGGCATAAAGACAGACATATAGGCCATGGAACAGAATAGATTTCAGAAATAAACCCTTGTGTATATGGTCAAATGATCTTTGACAAAAGTATTAAGACCATTCAATGAAAAACCACAGTCTCTTAAAGTGGTACTGGAAAAACTGGATATCCATATGCAAAAGAGGGAAGTTGGAACCTTAACTTACATATATATAAAAATTAACTCAAAATGGTTTAAACACCTAAAAGTAAGATCCAGAACTAGAAAACTCCTATAAGAAACCATAAAGAAAAAGCTTCATAATTTTGGATCTGGCAATGATTACTTGGGTATGACATCAAAAGCACAGGGAACAAAAGCAAAATAGACAAGTGGAACTACCTCAGTTCATCAAAACACACAATCAGCAGAGTGAAAATGCAACCTATGGAATACGAAAATGTTTCCAAATTGTTTATCTGATAGGGAATTAAAATCCAGAATATATAAAGAATACATAGAATATATATGTAAATACATAAAGAACTCCTAAAACTAACAACAAAAAAACCCAGTTCAAAAATGGAATTGAATAGACATTTCTTAGAAGATTGTATACAAATAGCTAACAAACCCAAGAAAAAAAGGTTCAACATCACTAATTACCAGATGACAATGAGATATCAACTCACACCTTTAGGTTAGGATGGTTACTATCAAAAAAGAAGAGAGAAAAGTAAAAGTGTTGGCAGAGATTTGGAAAAGCTGGAACTTATTATGCATTGTTGGTAGGAGTATAAAATCCTGCAACCACTATGGTGAACACTATAGTAGCTTCTCAAAAAATTAAAATCTCTTTAAAAAATAACTATTAGTTGCACCTGTGTGGGGTAGTTGGCTGAGTGACTCTTAGATTCGGCTCAGGTCATGATCTCAGGGTCTTGAGACGGAGCCCTACATCAGGCTCCTCACTCAGTGTGGAGCCTGCTTTAGACTCTCCTTCCTCTTCCTCTGCCCCTCCTCCCCCCAAATATATAAATCTTAAAAAAAAAAAAAACTTAAAATCTTAAAACTTTCAAATCTTAAAAAAAGCAAAATAACAACATGTGAAGTAAAATGAATGATGGCAAAAATAGCACCAAGGCTAGGAGGGGAATAATGCAAATACATAGTTGTAAAGTTCTTATATGTGAAATGGTATAATATTATTAAGGTAATTACGGTACTAAGGTAAACTATGGTAAGTTAAAGATAGATTATAAATCTTAACGCAACCACTAAGATAACAAAGAATCACAGTTAATACACTTCCAAAGGAGATAAAATAAGATCATAAAAAATACCTCATTAACTCAAAAAAAAAAAAAAGAAATAGAATAAAAAAGAGATGGGACAAATAGATTATCACAGCAAGATAAGAGACTTAAACCTAACACCATCAAATAATCACATTAAATGCAAATATTCTAAATACTCCACCTAAAAGGCAACAATTGTTGAATTGAATAAAAAAGCAAAGCCTGACTGGTCACTATAAGAAACCCAATTTTTAAAATTTTTTTCAAGAAACCCACTTTAAAATAAAAATAAATATAGCAGGTCAACAATAAACAAAAAGAAGCAGAGGGGCTATATTAATACCACAGGAGAAGTCAATAGTCAGCTAAGCATCTGCCTTCAACTCTGGTCATGACCCTGAGGCCCTGGGATCAAGTCCCACATCAGGCTCCCGCTCAGTGGGTAGTCTGCTTCTCCCCCTCCCTCTCCCCCTTGTTTGTTCTCTCACTCACTCACTCTCACAAATGAATAAAATCTTAAAAAAAAAAAAAAAGAATAGAAAATGTTTCCAGGGATAAATACCTATTTTAATGATAAAGGGGCCAATGCATCAGGAAAACATAATGCATAATGTTCATGTATCTAATAGGAAAGCTTCATTATACATAAAGCAAAAATTAATGAAACTGCAAGAACAAACAAATCCACAATTATAGTTGGATATTCCATCTCTCAATAAATTTAAAAGATTCAAGTAATTCAAAGTACATAAGTACATTCTTGGACAATAGTGAATTTAAGAAATCAGGAATAGATCTCAGGAAAATCCCTAATTATTTGGAAAATAAATAGCACACTTCTAAAAAAAAACATGAGCCAAAGAAGAAATCAAAAGGAAAATTAAAAAGAATTCTGAACTGAATGAAAACGAAAACACTTTTTAAGTATTTATTTAAACTTATCAATCTTTCTAAGATGAAGCTAAAGTAGAACTCAGATGGAAATTTATAGCTCCAGAATACCTGTAATAAAAAAAAATGACCTCAGCTAACACTATTGTGGATGCATTAGCCAAAGCATTTAGAAAAAAGAAAATAATTAGGGACATGGGAACTGGAAAAAGAGAAATACAACTATGGTACATAAGCACACTGGAATACCATGGAGCTCTAACAAAGAATAAAGAAAATCCTTTATATACAAAATAAAGGACAGATGGACAACATGTGCTCTGAATGTGATACCCTGAAAAGGAAACATGACTTACAAGTAGTTTGGTAAGTAGAGCAAATGCGGCAGAACATCAACAGATGATGAATATAGATAGAAGGTATATACCACCATTCGCGCAAATCTTCTGTAAGTTTGAAATTCTTTCCAGATAAAACTAAAATACATACATACATACATATATAAATCTGAACAAGATGACCTAAGTTCATGCTGCAATATATCCCTTCAACTTTACACATACAGCAATAATAGATAAAATATAAGAACAGAAAACCAAAAAAATAAAGTTAGGCTAAACTAAGATAAACATCTACATAAGTTAGAAGAAGAACAGAAATTCAAAGTGGTGTGGTAATACCAAGGGTGGGGTCTACAGGCAGACACTGGCAGCTGACAGTTCTGCTCCTGTGGGGTAATTGGGAATAAAAGTGCTCCTTATAAGATGTGAGACAAAAACCAGACTTGATAATGGTAGCCAGGGTTGTTGATGAAAAAAAAGCTTGCTGCTTAGTATGAATTGCAAAGGGCTACATTCCCCTTTGCTTTGAGCGTAACCTTCAAAGAGACAGCAGGTCACTCACCTCTTTATTTGAAAGGCACTTAATAGTCTGGCAGTTTCTGGCAGAACAAAGTTCACTAGTTTCTGCTTCCCGGGTCAAGAAAAGGAGCTTCTGACCCATTAAGTCCAAGCATTCCAAAACACTGTGAAGAAGTATAAAAGATCAGGGAAGAACAACAGTTTTCCCTAACCTAAGACTTACTTCTCTGTACTTGCACTGTCTAAATAAGGTAGCCACTAGCAACATGTGGCTATTTAAATTAAGATTAATAGGGGCGCCTGGGTGGCTCAGTGGGTTGGGGCCTCTGCCTTCGGCTCAGGTCATGATCCCGGAGTCCTGGGATTGAGCCCCGCATCGGGCTCTCTGCTCAGCAGGGAGCCTGCTTCCTCCTTCTCTCTCTCTGCCTGCCTCTCTGCCTAATTGTGATCTCTGTCAAATAAATAAAATCTTTAAAAAAAAAATTAAGATTAACATAAAATAAAATTACAGTTCAGTTCCTCAATACGCATTAGTCACACATACTGTACTGTGTGGACCTTACTGGACACCACAGACCTAAAACAATTCCATTACTGCAGAAGTCATAATGGACAGTATTGCTCTATATTTAGGGGAAGGACAGATAAACACGAAAAATACTCAAAGCTCTCTAACAAGTTTATACTCTAAGGCTCTGACATATTTATTATGATGTGGTGATCAACTCCTTCCAGGCCTGTTTTTTGTTTTTCCCTAATCTTGGCAATACACTAAGGCTATAGTTGATTCTTCTAATCAAAATACCCAGGAGTCTATCATCTTGCCTAATGCTACTCAGTTCACTATATTTCAATGTCTTTCTTTTTGGTAAAAGAGTTATTTTAAGACCATTCACTACATTTAGAAAATAAGAAAAATAAATAGGTACTATTTAGGGTGGAAGGTGGTATTTTTCCCTCCATGGTTTTTGTGACAGTAGAATGTCATTTATACTATCGGTAAATAATTTTCAATAGACCCAAAAAAGGGGGAAAAATTTGCAGGTTGTCTAAATAAGAAACCAGATATTCTTGTTTTTGTTCTTGTTTAGAACTGAAAAGTATTACCTTGTTTTTGGCTGATAAACTATTTCTGCTGTATTTCTCAGCTCTTGGCCTGTTGCTAGCAATTCTTGGTGACTAGCTAGTGCCTCCAGATTTAGTTCTGCAATCTTGAAGAAAATAAAGTGGTAAAAATCATCTAATTTCCTGCAAAGCATCTGAGGTTTGAAAATCAAAACACCACAAAGCAAAAAAAAAATCCAAGAAAAACTCACTCAAGTGGTGTTCTCTACTGCTGTAGACAGTGGCTTTGCCATTGCCATAGTCCCAGGTTGGCTTCAATAGCTACCCGATGGTTTCTGACCGTTTAGCCAAGAATGACAATGTTACCAGCTGCTGATGTTGTTACATGAATGCGGGAAAGGGCTAAGCATAAAGGGATGGCAATTCTGGCTCATCACTGATCCCACAGTCAGTCACTTAGAATTTACTTCTTTGTGAACGTGCCATTTTTGGAAATTATAAAAGAATGGCTTTTATAGCAACAACAAAAAAAGACCTTTCATTGGTTTAATACAAAACCAGTTTATTCTTCCATAAAGTGGGAGACCACTTGGGAGTTGCAATGCAGACAGTGAGATACAAACTACTATCATTATTTATACATATATGTTATAAGACGTTTTAGAATGTCTTTCTACCACTGCGACACAAAATACTATTCTGGATGCTTAGGATTCTACACAGACTACCATGTATTTCACAGTGGAGTTATGATAGAACATATCATGCAATGGGACAACCTAGTAAGTTAGAATGCATTGTAACAAGCTATGTAAGAAACTGTCTCCTTCAAGGTTTCCCTCATGTGCTGTCCTAATCTACACCCACTGAACTGCTGCTGAAACAACGGCATGCTCCCCCACCCCAAAAGAGCAAAATCTATGTAGATCTTTCATAATTATTATTACAATTATCAGCATACAATGAGCCACACATTATAGTGGTTAATATATTCAAGGCACTGTACTACTAGCTTTATATAAGATACCTCATGTACCCGCACCAATATCCCACAGAAATGTGTTTCCATTTTACAGATGTAGTAACTGAATTTCCTTGGAGAAACTGACCCAGATTATGTAACTAATAACTAAGCTAAACATAGTACTATCTTTTTTTTCCTTTAAGATTTTAAAGTAATCTCTATATCCAACATGTGGCTCAAACTCACAACCCCCAGAGATCAAGAGTTACATGCTCCACTGACTGAACGAGGCAGGTGCCCTGTACCATCTTTATTTAAAAACAGATAAGCCCAACTTCAGAGACTACATACTTAACTATTACATTATGCTAGTCATACAGGTCTTAATTCTGAATGCTCAGCTTGAATTACACTCCAATTTTTTTTTAAAGAAAGGTAACAACAGGAAATGATATCTGTGACTATCTGTTCTTGTCTCATAATTTTAAGAAAAGCAAACATACAGGTCAAATATACTAACCTTCCTTGGGCCATACTTAAGGAAATACCGGGCCAATTCAAGGGTTGTTCTAGCATCTTCTGTGGCATCATGACCAAGCCTATCTGGACACTGTATATCCTTCCTGGAAAGTCAAGATAAAACTGACATCCTCAACAGCATTTTCAATGATCGGTTCTTTCAACCACCTCTAATATTCTGGTTATATGTAAAATTTCAGCAATGTGATAATCAGATTTTATCACAACAATCAAGATTACTTTATTCCTAAATGCCAGGAGAGTACGTGAAGTGAGAGGCACTGATGATGCACAATGATCAGGAACGGCTTTGTCTACAGCAAGCATATCATCTGGACAAAAGGCTACCCAATAGAGTCTCTGGCCACTCCCCAGCGAACCCTTTTGCCTCATTCTTCTAGATGTAACCACTATTTAAAGTTAACTTCCAGAAATTTTATATAGGTACTTAAATTTTTTCTTGGTCGTTTTCAAAAACCTTAAAAAAGTACAAATGTTTGTGTCTATAAACTTATCTAAATCTAATCTGAATCATACAGATATCTAGGCATATACAGATCTTCTTCTGCATCTCCATTTTATTCTCAGTAGTAGTTTAAGATTAAGGTTTCCTTATTAGCACATATAGACCCATCACATTCTTTTAACAATAACAAAGTATTCAATAATACAGATAAACTTATTTAACCACTCCTAGAGAATATCTGCAGTTTTGGGCTGTTTTAAACCATAGTATAATGAACATCCTTGTACACAAGTGTTTATGCATAACAGGATACATTCAATATAGGAACATTATGTCTTCAAATTCTGGTTAACTTTTCAGACAGTTCTCTCTAGTTTATCCATCAACTCTTCAGATTGCATGTAAACCCCTTCTGTATTCCCATAATTTCTTTATCTCTGAGTCCTACTTCTCTGGAATTGGGATCCCAGGATTCACAAGAAGTGAAAGGAATAATGTTTACAGACATTAAGAGGGAGAATAGAGACCCTGAATTTTGCAATATGCATTAAATAAGAAATTATATGTCAACTTACACAACTTGTCAGGACAATGTTATAATATACAAACAACCTACCCCAAAACAGCTTTGGCTAAGAACTTTAGCTTAAATCTTCTGCCCTGCTCTCTGACATAAAGCAATGATGTATCAATAACATATGGATGTATCATCTGAGGAGGAAAGAGAACAGAATGAGTAGCATCCTATGTTAAAGGAAAAAACAAGTGGACTGGGGGAATAGAAGAACCCAAGACTTTAGATTTGAAATAAAAGGAAAAGGCATATAAACTGGAAAAACTAAATCAGATACTCACTTTCAGTGCTCTGAGATCCAAGTCCAAGGAATGGCCCACTAACACAGCATCAGGAGGAAGCAGTGCTTTTAAATGTCTCTGTACATCTTTGAGTTTGGTTGTCACTGGATTAAGAATCTTCTTTGTGATTCCCGAAAAGCTTTCAATAAAAAACCAGAAATGGACAGGTCAGGATATTAATAGGTTTTCCTCCCTGGAAAGTCATTTCAAAAAGAGTATTTTTAAAAACTAATATATGCTCAGTGTAAAAAGGTTGAAAATACAGATAAGAGGAAATTTAAAATAACCCAAAATCCCATGACCCAGAGATGATCATTGTTTACATTTTAGTAAATATCCTTTCATATTTTTTGATACATATACTCATGTGTGTGTGGACAGATTTACTTTAAAGATTTACTTATTTGAGAGAGAAAAGAGAACCAGAAAAAGAGAGAGAGAGAAAATCCTCAAGCAGACTCCCCGCTGAGCGCGAAGCCTGATGCAAGGCTCCATCCCAAGACCCTGAGATCATGACCTAAGTTGAAATCAAGAGTCGGATGCTTAACTGAATGAGCCATCCAGGCATGCCCATGTATATATTTTATTTCTATAAAAATGCAATCATAATGCATGTTATTTTTTAACATGATTTTATCATTTGCCATATATCATTAACAAGTTTTCACATCACTAAATCTATTTCAACGCATCCTTTTAAATGGTTAGAGTATTCCATTATGTGGATTTCATAGTTTAACTAATCCCCTGCTTTCAGATGTTTATATTCCCATATTTTTGAAATACTGTGACAAACATGCTTATACATACATCTTTGCCACAAATGACTGTTCCCTAAGAATACTAATTAGGTCTACTAATAAGGGAGGGCAGAAGGCAAGGTGAAAAATACCTGGTAAGGTAGTCCAGAATCTTGTTGTCAGGTTTAACAAGTTCATCCATTACACAGCAGCCTCCTTCAGCAACCAGTGAGATGCGGGTTAGCTCTCTCCCCTTGGATGTGAGGCACTGAAAGACCAGGCCATTGTCAGACTGCTGAACTGTGGAAGCTCTTGCTTGCTCTCCTTATTCACAGTATCTCAGCTGCCATGAACTGTAATCTACTGGGGTGCCAGTAACAATGGCACAGCCTTTGCTAACTAGAGAGCCCAGTATGAATGAAATTAAAGCTAGAGACTGCTGAACATTTCATCTAATTGCTCTGAAAAGGATGTGCTCAAGGAAGATGGATGGAAATAACATCATTCATCATCTTACCATTTATTGTTATGACATCCCCGTATTAGCTGAGTACCACAAGAAAGTAATTTTTAATTAGTGCATCTAATGCAATACTTAGCATTCTACATACACCATCTCATAGTAACATGATGAGGTAACTCTCTTATTATCCCCACTTCACAGACAGAGAAGTTGAGAATGAGAGGTTACAGAATTTGGCCAAGGTGACAACACCAATAGCCAAGACCAGGATACATACACACTCTGACATTAGACTTGAAAACTTTAGCTCTCAGCCACTCTGTTAAGAAATCAGAGACTGGTACCTGAGTACTGATAAGGGATGCCCTTTGAAAGGAGACTTACTAATGAGACTAAGTAAAACACAAAGGGAACTTGAGGAAAATCCTACTTCTTTTCTTTTCTAAAGATTTTATTTATTTATTTGACAGAGAGAGATCACAAGTAGGCAGAGAGGCAGGCAGAGAGCGAGAGAGGGAAGCAGGCTCCCTGCTGAGCAGAAAGCCCAATGCAGGACTCAATCCCAGGACCCTGAGATCATGACCTGAGCTGAAGGCAGTGGCTTAAACCAGTGAGTCACCCAGGTGCCCGAGGGAAATCCTACTTCTGATCGTAAATGTGTAAAACTAGACAAATCCATGGTAATTGAGTCAAAGTCTTTAGGGGAACAATAACAAAACACCTGTTCAAAAGACAGAAAGAGTAAACTTACGTAATTGACAGAGATTTGACTAAACATAACTAGTTAGAAAACTTATGTGATATTTATTCTTTTTTTTTTGTGGTATTTATTCTTGATCCTGGAACAAATACCCGTTTTCTAAAATGTGAGTAAAAGGGTCTACTTTCAGTTATTTAAACCAAAATAGTGGAACTAAATGCACTGGTTCACTGGTGCCTTAGACTCAAGAAATCACCTACTAGACTCTAGTTTGTAACCCTCCAGTTGAAACATTAAAAGTAGTACTTACCATTTCACAGTCAAGTCCAAAGAGAGGACTGCTGTCTGTCACAGAACCATTACATTTGGTAGGTACAAAGTTTTCACAGTCAGGAAAACCTAGGAGGAAAAGAAATTAAAAATCTGCCTTTAAAACTACAGAAGATAAACATCACTTTAAGATTCATTCACCAAGGGAAAACTGAAATACCACATTTGCTGGACACCTTCTCTGTTAGACACTTGAAATATAAAAATTATATGAGAGACAATGTTGGTCCTCAAGTTTTTCTCCATCTGCTCATTTTTTTTTTTTTAAAGATTTTATTTATTTATTTGACAGACAGAGATCACAAGCAGGCAGAGAGGCAGGCAGAGAGAGAGGAGGAAGCAGGCTCCTTGCTGAGCAGAGAGCCCGATGCGGGGCTCGATCCCAGGACCCTGAGATCATGACCTGAGCCGAAGGCAGCGGCCTAACCCACTGAGCCACCCAGGCGCCCCATCTGCTCATTTTTATACTCTTGGAGAATACTACAGGCTGCCCTTATAGGGGATAATAGGGCCTAGACCTCTTGGCAGTTACCAAGTAACAATTTTTCCTCCATACGAGGAAAAAGATTATAACTAAATTGTAGCTGGGGCATCTGAGTGGCTCAGTCAGTTAAACACCCAACTCGATTTTGGCTCAGGTCATGATCTCAGGATTGTGAGATCAAACCCTGCATTGGGCTCCACAATGGATGTGGAACATGCTTAAGTTTCTCTCTGTCCCTCCTCCTGTGTGCACACACACCCTCTCTCTTTCTAAAAAAAACCAAACCAAAAAAATAAAAAACACCTAAATTTTGGCTAAATCCCAAGTCACTGGACCTTTTCATGTAGGCCCTAAAGGAGGATGCATAAAGTATGCAGAAACTACATGTAGTATCTTTCCTTCCTAAATAAAGAAAAAGTAGGAACGAAATTCCACCATAGTAGAGATCTAAAAGGATTTCACTGTAGGCAGTGAGTAATATCCACCATGTGTACCCCTGCACCCAACTCTATCCTTGAGACTTCCCTGAGATCTTTACTCAGAAACACGCTTGCATTTTTTTGGAATCACAGACTGAAAATTCCCTATAGGAACACACCTAAAGGCTTAAGGTACCCCCTCCATTGTGCACCTTTAGTTAATAACAAGGAACATTCAGCACAGAGTTCCCAAAGTGTTTGAACCATTGAAGATTCCTACCTTCAGACAGAGGCTTAAACAGTAAAATTACCTAGGTCTTGTGTGACAAGAAACAAAGTACAGTGTGAGAAATTATGACTAGTTTCTATGTCATAGTACCTCAAAACTGCCAACTAATTACAAATAAAAAAATCAAGATATGGTCTAGATCAGAAAAGAGAGACATCCCCAAATCTGGGAGACATTATACTTGCTGCTCTTATCTAGATGATTAGTAGTAATAATAATAAATAATAACTTTTCAAATGCACTATGTGCCACCCACCCTATGTGCTAAGTACTTTTGTATACATTAACTCATTTAATCCCCATGGCAATCCATGATATATGAGCTATTAACTCCATTTTACAGATGGTATATGAAAATATATTCAACATCATCAGCCATTAGAGAAATAGAAATTGAAATCATGAGATACTGCCTCACACCACCTTAACGAATACAATAAAAAAGACAGAATAACAAGTTGTTCATAAGAATGTGCAGAAACTGAAACCCTTATACATTGCTGGAGGGTATGTAAAATGATGCAGCTGCTCCGGAAAAAGTCTGATAGTTCTTCAGAAGGTTAAACAATTACCATATGACCCAGCAATTCTATACCTATGTTTATACTTCCCCAAAATGAAAACAGATGTCCACAAAAAAACTTGTACCTGAATGTTCATAGTATATTCATTATAACCAAAATATGGAAATAACCCAAAAGTCCATCAAAGCATAAAATGTTGTATATCCATATATAGAATATCTTTCGAATGAAAATAAATGAAGGTGACAGACGGCAGCTACTTACTGAGTACAACAAAATTACAGAGCTGTCAAATCACTATGCTGTATACCTGAAACTAATGTAACATTGTGTGTCAACCACCAATACTTCACTAAAAAAAATAATTGCTAGTTAAGTCTTAAAAAAATAATAAGTAGGTAAACTGAAAGATATGAGTTTTCAGATATGGACGGTACCACACATACTATTTTCAAACTAAATTATATATATATGTATATATATACATATATATCAGATTAAATACATCATCAGATTAAATATATAAAAATACATTTATATATACAAATAAGTAATATATATGTATATATATAAAAACAAATATAAATATCAGATTAAATGTAAACCAACCTTGTAATGGAAAGTGAAATGTTTTCATTTCCTCCTTTGTGAGAAGGCATCTGGTTAAGCCCACTTTCTTAGAGCCATACTTTTGAATAACAGGGTCATTCTGCAGGTTGACGCTGACTTTTGAACTGGCAGAAGGTAAAGACCCTGAAATAAAAAGAACAATTAAACTTATGTCAGAATGTGTGTTTAAGAAGGGACACCTGAATGGCTCAGTCTGTTAAGTGTCCAACTTGATTTCTGCTCAGGCTGTTATCTCAGAATCATGGGATCAACCCATTGGGTTCTGTGCTCAGCATGGAGCCTTCTTATTCCTCTCCCTCTGTTCCTTCACACTCCCCTGCCCACCATCCAGCTTGCACTCTGTCTCTATCTCTTAAAATAAATAAAATCTTAAAGAAAAAAAAAAGAATATGTGTTTAAGAAACCTCAAACGACGTATTTCTCAACTTTGTGTCAGGTAGCACAGTGAAGATCAAAAGATGTATAAGACCCAGCCCCAACTTTAAGGACCCTGTACTGTAATATAGTTATAGGAACACAAAGAGAATATAAGCCTCAAATGGGTTATAATAAAGAAAGCTACAAAAGGGAAAGGAGGAAGAATATACTGGCTAGGGTGGTGAGAGATGGTTCAACAGAGGAAAAGATTAGCTGAGTCTTGAAGAAAAAGCAGAATTTAGATAGTTGGTGTCTTAGACCTGCCCATCACAGTGCCCACCACTAACAGCCCATTCTGGCTAAATTTATTCCACCTCCTAGCCACTTGCTCAACAGGCTGATAACTATTCTTTAAGCAGGAGTGGTCACCAATTAGATTGAGAATGGGAACCTGGCTTAAGAGAGACCCATCTATGGGTGCCTGGGTGGCTGTCAGTTGAGTGTCTGACTCTTATTTTGGCTCAGGTCATGATCTCAGTGTCCTGGGATCAAGTCCTGTGTTGGGCTCTGCGCTCAGCATAGAGTCTGCTGGTCCCTCTCCCTCTGCTCCTCCCTGCCCCCTACTCATACTCTCTTTCTAAAATAAATAAATAAAATCTTTGAGACAAAAAAGAGAGACCCATCTATAAGTAGACCAGTAAGTTGATATTCCTAGCCAAGACAAGCTCAAAAGGGACAATGGTAATTAGCTAAGCTGATCAGATTGCTTGCTTCTAAAATCAAACTAGGAAATATAGAGAAGTGACAAGTTAGAAGAGAAAACAGAAAGCAGAGAAGATGCCATGAAAGAGCATTTAGACTCCTGATGGCTTTTTAGTCTATACTACATCCTTTAAATAATATCCCTCTCACTTAGGATGGCCTGAATAAGTATCTGGTCCTTGCAACTAAAGAAGTCAAAATACTGTAAATAGAAAAGAGAGGATTCCAGGCAAGACAGAAATGTACAAAGCAAACCCGGTATGATAGTGACTAGACCAACTGAGAATTAAAAAAAAAAAAAAAGGTCTGTGTAGGAAACAAGGTTGAGGAGTATAAAAATGAATTGTAGACCACTGCAAATGCCAGACTCAAGAGTTTAGACTTTAGTCCATTATTCAATATATAATGAAGAGCAACAGAATGTTCCTAAGATGGGAAATGGCATAACCAACCAATAGTATTTAAGGAAGATCAACCTCAAAGATAATGTGGAAAATGAAGGAGAGAAATGAGAAAAAATTTTGCAGAAATTCTGGACCAAGAAAAAAAAGAAAACAAAAAAAAAAAAAAAAAGGGAAAAAAGATTAGAGTCTGAATCAAGATGGTCGAAAGCATGGAGGAAAAGGGATATATGAAAGAAACAGTACACAAGAAAAACTGATAGAACACAGTGATAGAATAATTTAATTCAGTCAACAAATTTTTACTAAGTACTTATTATATGCCTGGCATTGTTCTACCCACTTGAGATTCCTCAATGAACAAAATCAACAAAATTCTCCATATACTGAAACTGTTTCTGAAACAGAAATTCTTTTCTGTTTAAGGTAGTTGGGAAGATGGGACAATAAACAAATATATAATATGTCAGGTAAAGATAAGGACTACAGAGAAAAATAAATGAGGGAAAAGAGGAGAGGGTATACTGAGGCAGGAAAAGGATTACTGTCATATATTTTATAATCGGGGAAGACCTCTCTGATAAAGTGACATGTGAATAGATATTCATGGGAACTAAGGGAATGAGCTATGCAGACTGGGTATGGGGAGCCAAAAGAAAAGTAATTCTAAAATTCAAGACTGTTGGGGTGCCTGGGTGGCTCGGTGGGTTAAGCCTCTGCCTTAGTTCAGGTCACGATCTCAGGGTCCTGGGATCGAGCCCTGCATCGGATTCTCTGCTCAGTGGGGAGCCTACTTCCCCTTCTCTCTCTTTGCCTGCTGCTCTGCCTACTCATGATCTCTCTCTCTCTGTCAAATAAATAAAGTCTAAAAAAAAAAAATTCAATAGGAAGCAGAGACGTAGAGGAGATAAGAATCACTGACTACTCCTCACCACTTTTTCATGTCTCCTCAATGTAACTACTCAATTATTTCTGAACACACATAAAAAAGCATCACTGAACAATACTTACCTTACTATATCTAATGGACTCTAACAAGTTCTTTTCTATTGCATCACTTACCTGCTTCCCTCGCCCCCCAAAAAACAGTTAACTATAACTTTCTCATGAATACAACCCATTGTTTGAAAAACACTGCCATCATGGATAGTTCTCTTTTAGATGGCCGGCATCTAAACCTTCTGCCTATTCCCCACTGTGGGTAGTATTAAGGATGTCCTTTACGTTACTCAAAGGCAAGATCTTCCTTCCCATCTGTGCACTCATAGGTACAAAGACCCACTGACAGTTTAAAAATTATTCACAGTAATTTCTAAGAATCCAATGTTAAGTGATATGCAGGGATAGCCTTTTCTATCTCACCTAACCAGATGGTTCCTGGGACATGAATATTGGCTATATGGTTCCTGTTCTTTATCCTCCCTAGGTACTTATCCATTTTTTCTTTAAAAACAAAACAAAATAAAACAAAAACAAAAACAAAAAACTGTTCTTCTGTTTAAGGTAGTTAGAATTGACCTTTGTTGTTTGCAAGTATAAACTTGACTGATAAACCCACAGCATATCCATAATGTCTTGTAGAATGAGCAAATCATCGAACTAGAGTCACAACCATACCTTCCACCATCTTGGATAGATCTCCTGTTGTTTGCTTCTTTTGCAGGCCAATGATATCAGCTAGAAAATTAGATGATGGTGGTGGCAAGCGGAATTTCTGTAAATACATGCCAAGTTTTTATAAAAATGCTTGAAAGCAGTTAAAATATTGTCAAAGACTTGCACTTTTATTGTCAGCTGAGTACTAAGAAACGTTTGGACCTTAACTATTTGTATTACAAAATGAGGACTGTCTCCCTAATGTGTAAAAGCGACTAGGTAATAATAATGATTAAAAAGAAGTGGCTAAGTAAGTGAAGCCACCTTTATCCCACCCCCAGATATTTTCTTTGGTTCTGATTACATGCTGGAAACAAAAACAAGCATTACACAAATGTGTAACTCAGAAAAGGAAAGTCCCTTATATTTTTCAAAGCACTTCTGTATCTATTACTTTAGTGGACAGCTTGCCAGGTAGTTAGGACAGATGACACAGCAAAGCTGAAAGGTTGAGATCTCCAGCCTTAGGCTCACCTGTGCTGAAATTCCAGCTCCACCACTTCTAGCTATAACCTGGACAAGTTACTTAGTTTCCTTACATACAGAAGATATTTTTATCTCTCACAGAAGTACTTTAAGAATTAAAGATGATGCACGCAGAATGATTGATGTAGGTCCTAGCATGTCTGTAGCCTTTGATAAATGAAAGCAAAAAAGAAAATGGAGACCCAAAGAGATTAGGACTCACCAACTCAAATCCCTCAGAGGTAAATGGATGAAACAGTCCAATAAAGACTGGAGGTGGCTATGGGAAGGAAAACAGGGAGCACAAGCCTCTTCTAAAGATGACAGCTGCTATTCAGCTCCAGATACTGTTCTAAGGATGTCCAATTTTGTAATGTTGTCAAGAAGCCAAAAAACACAGACTTACATAGAGTATATAATTTTTAAAAACAACATAGACCGAATAAAATAGGAATAATCAGCCTATATCAGGAACTATATATAGATTGTAATCTGGTAATAAATATTTTGCCTAAATTATCAAAGAAAATCAGAGGCAAACCTAATCTCAACAGGAGATCTCTGAATCTTAATCTTTCTTGCTTTCTACAACCTCTACTGCTTGTTCAATAAGGTTGCCCAAGAGCATAGTTTGAGACATGCACTATTTCCGGATGAGAGGACTCAACTCAGGCCCTAATACAAAGTTTTCTTAACTTACATGTCTGAATGCCTTTCGGAGAAATCCAAACTCCAAGTAGAACCTGTAAAAGTGTAGCTGGCTCATTCCCTGCAGTACAAAAACCACCACGCTGTTCAGGTGGTTTTGGTGAAAAAGCTGGCACCAGCTGTTGAAAAATCAAACCAATACAGCTAAAGGTGATACCATCAAGTCAGTTATAGACATACAAAAGTGAAGTGTGGGAAAAAAAGTAGTGAACAACAGTTAATGAAATTTACCATTACTCAATGACTGCCCAGCAAAGAACAGCTACTATTGTACAGAATTCAAATAAAGATTTCTTGAGATAATTGTTTATTGCATTCCAATCAATTAGGATAACAAGGGAAACAGAATGTATTCAAATTTAAAATCCTATTATGATTTGTTTTAAATTGGGAATAAACTCATTTTAAAAAGGCATATCCTCAAAATCCCTAGCTGCTGAGTCCTTCCTAAGCTAATAATCACATGACTAGCTTTAAGAAAGCCAGTTTCAGATAAATTGACACACTACTGGTAATATTTGTTAATGGAGAAGATGGCTTTTGAGGGGCACCTGGGTGGCTCAGTGGGATAAAGCCTCTGCCTTCCGCTCAGGTCATGATCCCAGAATTCTAGGATCGAGCCCCACATCAGGCTCTTTGCTCAGCAGGGAGCCTGCTTCCCTCTCTCTCTGCCTGTCTCTCTGCCTACTTGTGATCTCTGTCTGTCAAATAAATAAATAAAATCTTTAAAAAAAAAAAAAAAGAAGATGGCTTTTGAGTTATCTAGTCAATCTCCCTCAGATAGGTATGTCTGAAAAACTAAAAAGTTTTGTAAAATTTTTATTGGTACATATACAAAAGCAATTTTCTTTAGACATTTAACAGTGGCATTGAAGATATCAGAATAATAATTTGTCTTTGTTTCTTAATGTGGAAGGAACAAAAAAGATTAACTGGGATTCTTAATCCATGATCATGGTATTTTAATTGGGTCTCCACTAGGGGTTACAAACCAAAATACCTTTAAATGGTGCTGGGAAAGAACACTGAAATGACATGACTGCCTGCTGATGTGTCAGCTGGCCCCAGCACCTGAAGGCTCCTCACCCCTTCTCCTCTGTCCTTGGAATGTGGGTTCTGCTTATCTTTCCTGATCCCAGAGGCTGCTCCAAGGACACAGCCTTGAGACAGTGATGTGGTATTGAAAATACCTGCATGGTTCATAGGACTGAACCCAGTTAAGGCCTCTACATACACTTTTTTAAGATTTGGCAGGCATGTGTAGGGGTCCATTTGTCTTCCTCCTGCCACAGACAAGCCTTATATGCAAGTTCCCTTGGTTTATTAAAACTGCCACTTAGCAACCTGGCGCAGCCTGCCTCTTTCTTCAGTCTCTACCTAGCCTCCAAGTAAGTGTGCTGGGTATCAGTTTAAACCCAGGAAGCTCCCAAGAGGGTTGCAAACCAAAAAGCAGCCAGACAGATAATGTAAATAAGGGAAACAGGCCTTATTTACCAGTAAGTGGTACACTAAAGTATACATGCCCCATCTGTAAGGGGAAGGCTACTATTCAGCTTTGACAAATTGTTGCCATTTGGGAATAGAGGGACAATTGCCAGATCTTAAGAATTTTTTGAAGAGATAAATTATCTGGATTTTAATAAAGGAATTCCCAAATCAAATGTTGGCAACTCCTGCAAAGAAAAAATGTAGGGGGAGCCTGGGTGACTCAGCTGGTTAGGCATCTGTCCCTTGATTTCAGCTCAGATCATGATTTCAGGGTTATGAGACTGAGCCCCGCATCAGGCTCCACACTGGGATTGCATCCTGCTTGGGATTCTCTCTCTCCCTCCCCCTCTGCCTCTGCCCCTCCTCTACCATTAAAAAAAAAAAGAAAAAGTTTAGGACATTCTGTATGGCAAACAAATAATGTCAATTAAGGAATATGTGACCCTCTATACAGTAGTTTAAAACCTTGGGTCTATACCCACCATTTAAGTTCATCTCATACCTGGGTTTAGGAACACTGGATTTGCCCAGAACTGCATACTTCAGCAATTCACATAACTGGTCGTGGGTTACTTCACAGTTTTCAGCAAATAAAATGGTAGATAAGCGGGCTTTCTGCAAAGATATATCAGGTCATTAACAATCAAGACTACTGGAGCGTCAGGGTGGCTCAGTCAGTCAAGCGTCCAACTCTTGATTTTGACTCAGGTCATGATCTCAGGGTCTTCGGATTGAGCACCCCCGTGTTGGGAATCCCCACTCAGCAGGGAGTCTGCTCTTCTCCCTCTTCCGCTGTCCCTCCCCCGCACACATGCTTGCTCTCGATCTCTCTAAAATAAATAAATCTTAGAAAAAAAATTAGGACTGGGGGTGCCTGGGTGGCTCAGTTGGTTAAGCATCTGCCTTCAGCTCAGGGCATGATCTCTGAGTCTTGGGATCAAACCCCTCAGCAGGCTTCCTGCTCAGCAGGGAGTCTGTTTCTTTCTCTCTTGCCCTCCCACCATTCATTCTCTAATAGATAAACAAAATATTAAAAAAAAATTAGGACTATTGAGAACAGGATCATAGCAAAGCAAATTATATGCAAATATAATATAAGCAAATCATATTATATTAAATATATGCAAATCATATTATATTTAAATATATGCAGATTATATGCAAATATAATTAATTGGAAATGAAGGTCTAAAACAACAACCTGTGATATAACATTATTAATATAAAATTTAATAAACATTGGTAAGAAACCTTACTACAGATACTTGGTTACTTGCTAGGGATAACAGAATGAATGAAACATAATTCATGCTCTCCAGTTCTTTCTACTAAGAGAAAAGAAATACAGAAATAGGTAATTCCAATACAAAGTGGGTAAGTGCTATTATAAAAGTATAGGAGTAAAGAGACTAACTGCCTTGGGGACTAGAGAGTTTGGAGGATAGCTTCACTGATATGAAAATACTGGGGTTGTCTTGAAAAGGTGGAACATTGTGTCTAAACACGTAATTTTGTTTGGCTGGAACCAAGATGGCGTGTTGCAGAGCAGTAGAGATCTGTGAGTAGAGAAAAGAGGAAGTCAGGTCATAGATCAATGTGGTCTAAGCTAAGGAATCTGACATTATTCTGGGGAAACAGGGAGTTCACTAAAGCTTCTCCCTCCCAAAAAAGGCCCTAATTCTTTATCTTTATATTATACTGCCCCTACAGAATTAGAGTATACATTCTGTTTGGTAATGAACTCTGCAACCCTCCATCCCCCCAAAATTAGTAAATATCTTTTCATATCAGTTAAATGTAACAAACACCAATTTTAATAGTCCAATTCTCTAAATTTATCTCAACACTTACAATGTATATGAAAAAATTCCCTATTGATGACACTTTTTAAAAAAAAATTATAAACAGTATCATATGCATCCTTTCAAACATTCTTGTGTACCTGGATAAATTCTCCAGTAAGTTCCTGGTCAAAATAAGCACCCTTGAACAACACAGGTTTAAACTGTGCGACCCACTTATACATGGCTCATTTCTGGTAAATACAGTATAGTACTGTAAATGTATTCTTTTTTTTCCAAGATTATTTATTTATTTGACATAGAGAGAGAAGAGAGTGAGAGAGGGAATACAAGCAGGGGGACTGGGAGAGGGAGAAATAGGCTTGCCGCTGAGCAGGGAACCCGATGCAGGGCTTGATCCCAGGACTCTGGGATCATGACCTGAGCTGAAGGCAGACGCCTAATGACTGAGCCACCCAGGTGCCCCAAATGTATTCTCCAATTTATGCTTTTCTTAGTAACATTTTCTCTGGCTTACTTTATTGTAAGAATACAGTATATAATACATGTAATTTACAAAGTATGTGTTAACCACCTGTTTATGTTATCAGTAAGGTTTTTGGTGTACTGGTTACCTGTATTATTGGTAAGGTTTCTGACTTTAAGTAGTTAAGTTTCTGGGGACTCAAAAGTTATACATGGATTTTGGACTGCACAGGGCAGGGAGGGTAGATGGTGGTTTGGCACCCCAATCCCCCATGTTGTTCAAGGGTCAACTATTTAATTGTGACAAGTACTATTAATTTCTGAAAGAATATACCAATTTATATTTACTAATCAAAAATATGGGATTGATAAAGTGAGACTAAGTGAGGTAGGTAGGGTCTATGTGGCAGTGAGTAAATATGGATGCCAAGTATGAGAGCCTAAGCCTGAGTGGGGGAAGGAGGGAAGCTATAGGGGAGAGAGCTAGGACTAAGGGTAGGAACCCACAGCATACATGCAGAAGGATGGCTCGTTGTGGGGTGTCAAAACCTGAGCGGTATGAAGGCATCCATGCAGTGGGCAGTGGAGAGCAGTGAGGGCTGGTATCAGATATCAGAAAGTATGTAAGGAAAGGAGGGCATCAATACTGAGGGACAACAGTGGCCTGTCACAAGATTCAGAGCCTGAACAGGGTGAGGGTGTCCATATATGTGAAGGATAGCAGCCTGTCACAGTAGTGACAGAAGCATTCACACAGGAGGGTGGCCTGGCACATGGTGCAGGATGACACAGCCCAAGCAAGGAGAAGAGGGTGTGGGAGTGTGGGGCAGTGGCACCATGGAGAACAGGTCAAATATATTGAAGGTAATGACAAATCAGATGTCTCACTGAATATAGAAGGAAATTATAAACATGAAGAGAGAAAGCAAGAATGAACCTTGTGGAAACACACTGCAAGTAGAGATTTTAGTATGTATGGATACAAAAATATTTAAATGTAAACATGTATGTGTATGTATATAGGTATACAGATATATAAATTCATATTTCCTAGCTTTCTTTTGGGGGTATTGACATCCCAATAGCACTGAGCACATCTAGTACCCAGAACCTTGAGTTTCTAAATGTCATTCTCTACTAAAAAGAACCAAGCATCCCCCCCAAAAAATTCCTGATTCCAGAGTTGGGGCAGGAAAAGCACAGATGAGCCTGGAACACCTTTTTGTAGCAAAAAAGTAAGGAAACGCTCAAAGAATTATGAGGTCATGTGCAAAGGACACAGAAGCTAGCTTAATGTTCAAATATGGGATATTCTGAACATCAAAATAAATATAGTAATGGATTATAACTTACTGAATGAAATAGGCAATGAGTTCATACTAATAAAAAAATGAATTAAAAGTTTAACAAGGAAGCATCTCTCCATAGAATTAGAGAAAAAGAAGACAAGAATGGGACAAATAAAATCATGTACAACCTAACAAAATACAAGAGAAAGAATGTCACTTCTGTGATATTCCTGACAAACATGTATAACCCGAAATTAATCAATGAGAAACAAACCTAACTTGAGGGACATTCTACAGAATAACTGGTACAGGATTCTTCAAGAGTAGTAAGGCCATAGATGTCAATGAAAAGACTAAAGAATTGTATGGATTGAAGAAGACAAGACAACTAAATGTAACACATGGTTCTAGACTGGATCTTATTGCTAAAAACGGTATTACTGGAACAACTGAGGAACTTGAATGGGGTCTGAAGATAAGATGATAGCAATATATCCATGTTATTTTTTTTTTAAATTTTGATGGTTGCATTGTGGTTATGCAGCACTGTTTACAGAAAACACATACTAAAATATGGGTGGGTGGTCATGGGGCATTGTCAGCAATCACTTTCAAATGCTGGTTGGGGTTGTTTTTGGTACTGTTTTTGCAACTTTTCTGTAAGTTTGAGATTGTTTCAAGATAAAAGAGTGATGAGATGGTCTATCTCCTTATATTTTTCACCATATTAACCTTTAAAAAGTTGTTTTGCCAATTTGATAGGCAAAAAAAGAATCCCTTTTAAATTAAAAAAAATTTTTTTTTCAAAGCACTATTTCCCATTTTACATCCTACAGGTATCCCCAGCTTTCTGAAAGCTTGTGTCCTGCCACTTCCCTTTTACAAGAGACCTATTAGCTCTGTGCCTTTCTTCGCTTTTACCTTCAGCATTTGTTTCACAACAAGCCAATTATAAAAGCAGCACACCCCAAGCAGAGTGGCACAGCCAAGCTCCTTCCCAAGAACTACACTTAGCATGAAGCCCCCATAGCTTTGAATTGTGTCTGTGAACATCTGCGCTTTATCTTGATTCTGTGCATCAGTTAGCAAAATCTGTCTTGAGATATGAGAAAACCTAACAAAGGTTATTTTGGGGAGTCGGGAAATGCTTCCAATCCCCATCACCTCCACCCATCCCCCAACATAAATCAATAAATGCTTCTTTGCTTTACCCCATTTCAGCTCAGAATTTCACAGGACCGCTCTACTTTCCTATAGTGGGGGAAACCTGTGTATAATTTCTATTTATTGTCTGTCTTCGGTCTCTTTACGCTGGAACGAAGTAGTAACCTCTTTATTCACTGACGTTCCTCAACTGCCTAGGGACAACAGAAACCTGGTAACTGAAGGGATGGACCACGTATATTTAATTCTCAATACACCGCAGGGATGCTCATCAGCCTTATTATTCCCTTACTGGCGTGGCATGTAAACTGCATGACGGCAGGGAATTTTGGGTTCGTGCACTGGGATATCCCCTGAACTGGGATATATACAAAAGACACAATAAAGCATTTGTTGAGTGAACATTCTTTTTGGGTCCCAAGCACCACACCAGTTTTAAAGAGCCATTATCAGCCCTGAGGTAGGTGGTATTAACATTATCGTTCCCATATTACGGACTGGAAGGCAGGATTCCGTAAGGACAGTGGGTGGATGAGGCTAACCCTCAGCCTCCAGGGCAGGCAGGGCCCGGAAGGGGGCTGCGGCGAGGGCTTGCCCCTCCTAACCTCCCCGGGCCGCCCACTTGTGCTCCTCGTTACTCACCTTGGCCTCGGGCTGCCTCTCCTCCAGATCCCGACGGGCTCTCATCGCCTCAGCCGCCCCGACCAGCATGTTCGGGGCCCTCCTTCTCTTCCTGCCCTTCTTGGGGTGCCCCCCGCTCCTCTCCCTCTCGGGATCCATGAGGCTGTGGAGAAAGACCGGCGAGAGCTGGGGAAACGCCGCCTCTGGACGGGTGAGCAGGCGGGGCTTCGACAGCCTACAGCCTTCCTCAGATCCTTTCCTAAATTCAGTGCACGGAGCCCTCCCAACCCTCCCGGAAAAGCGAGAGCGCTAACTATCCTCCCTGTTCCGCGGCGGAGAAAACCGCACCGACACCAACGGTTTTACCGTACGCGCTGGAGGCCGGATTCGAAACGGTTCCCCAACGGCGCAAACGCGCCTCCGCCCGTTGAAAAAGAGGGAAAAAGTTGCTGCCAAGACGACTTCTCTGCAAAAAAACACTCCCCGAGCCCCGAAAACACCGAAGAGAAGCCGGGCACACAGCCTAAGCCGCAGCCGCGTAGCCGCCCCCACCGCCTCAGTCACAGCAGAAGCCGCCGCCGCCGCCGCAGCCTTCTCAGACGCGCCAGGCGTTTGAATGGACCGGAAGTAGTAGTTTAACGACTTCCGGCAGTTGGGCTCAGAGGAGTAAGGAGTGCCGGGAATGGCGACCAAGAAACTTGCGCGGTACGCGAGGGGTTTCTGGGCTGAGGGTGGCTCCTGGTCGAGTGCTGGCGCCCGCAGCCGGCCTGGGAAGTGCGCATCCGCGGTGTCAGCTTTCATTCTCAGCAGCCCAGGCGTCTCCGACCTGCACTCTCTGCCCCGGACTGAAAGGTCTCAGCTTGGATTTCGGTCTCGAGGCTCTCAGGCCGCCCTCTGCGCGAGAGTGGAAGAACTAGGGTTCGGCCTGTGTGGCCTTGAGCCATTGTCAGCCCATTCTAGGCCTCTGGAAACGAACTGGACGTGACAGCGCCTGGTAGGCCGTTCCGAGGTCTCAGGCAGCCCCCCTTCACCCGTCAAGCTGTTCACCCTACCACTTCCTAGTGATCCGTTTAAGTCGTATTGTGATTTATTGTAGCCTTCTCCCTGATTCCTGGTCACGCTGTACACATTTCTGATTTCAAAAGAGCTGTTATAATGTAGTGGTAAATAGCATGGGCTTCAGAGTTGGTCGATTCAGCTTTCACATACCAAATCTGTGTTCTTTGGCGAATTACTGAATCCGTTTTCTCATCCAAAAAATAGAGGTAGCAACAACTCCTACAGTTCTTGACGATTAAGTGAGATCACTAGAGCTCAGTGCTTGCTATGTAGTAAGAAATTAGATAAATGTTCGCAGTTATTCCCAACTCCTTGCATTTCCCATCACAGGTCTTAAACAAACAAACAAAAAACACAAAACGACAACAGGAAGTGTCGCCTAGTTAAGCTTGACCTGTTCCTCGAAGTAGTTGTCTTACTTAACACCTAAGGAAGCTCATCCCTTTCTGTGAATTCAAGTATTGCCTTTGCGGATCCTTTGTCATGTATTACCTTATAGTAGTTTACCATGGATGTCTCTCTCCTTTCTTTACCCAGCTGTAATTTTGAGCTCCTGGAAGACTGGATCTTCACTATCTCCTCAGAACTGGTCTGTGCACATAGTAAGGGCTTGAAAAATGAAAAGGCAGAAATAAGCTTTTCAATGCATCTTTACCTCTGCAATCACTCACGTTCCTCAGTATTTACTGTCAAATAAGGAAAGCAAAAGGAATTACTCTTAAGTTTGCAAATATGAACTTTGAGGCTCATGCAGGTAAAATGACTATTAAGATTTAATGACTGTTAAAATCAAAAGAGATTTTGGCAGTCAATATAAGAACCAAGGTCTTCTGTACTCCTGGGGCAAATAATACATTATATGTTTATAAAAATAATTAAAAAAAACAACAACAAGGTTGTCTGCTCTCAAAATTGTTCAATTTCCAGTCACTCACATTAATACATTAATAATGAGGGTTATAACATTAGTTTGTTAGCATATTCAAACAGGAGTGTGAATGCTTTTGTTGAACGTACTTGGTTGTTATACATTTTAGGCAGCTTGGATTAATTAGAAAAAAGTCAGTTGCACCAGCAAATGGAAATCTAGGAAGAAGCAAATCCAGTAAGTATTGTGCTTCATTTCTTTACATTTTGTATCCTTGCACTTTTAACACTGATAAACCATAAGGACACCCTTTGTTTTGCAGAGCAGTTGTTTGACTACTTAATTGTCATTGATTTTGAGTCAACATGTTGGAATGATGGGAAACGCCACCAGAGCCAAGAAATAAGTAAGTCTGGACTGCCAGTGGCCAAAGCTAGCCCAAGAGGAGTCACTGTAATAGATATAAAGTAGTCAACAATTAGTTTAAAGGAAATAAGATACCCTATGAATTGGTAGTTTACTATAAAACCTGACTTGACAAAAAAAGAACAAAAATCTAACATCTAAAAGTATATAAAATTATTTTAGAATTTCATACAAAATCTCAATTGTATAGGGACAGAAAAAATACCTTTGCTAAAAGAAATACATTTTAACTTCCATATGGTCTTAATATTTAATTGTGGAAATATATTCAAGAGTTTTAAATAGATACAACTTTAATATTCTGATTTAGTCTTTGGTACAATTTTATTATAACTATTATATCACACTGCTTTGGTCATTTTAATATGCTTTGACTGAAATAGTGACTGTCTAAAAATGCTATATGATGGTTAAATATGATTAATTTAGAGTGATGACCGCATTAATTTAACAATTATGTATTCAAGTGTCAATTGAATTTTTCGTGTAGTTGAATTTCCAGCTATATTGCTGAACACATCAACTGGGGAGATTGAATCTGAGTACCATGCTTACGTTCAGCCTCAAGAACATCCAATTCTTTCTGAATTTTGCATGGAACTAACAGGCATAAAACAGGTATGCCCTTTTCTTTTCCCTACCTCTCTTCTCACCCTGCCACCCCCCCAAAACAAGAAAGTATGATGCAAATATTAAAATTCAGAAATCAGGGGCACATGGGTGGCTCAGCTGCCTGAGTGGCTGGCTCTTGATTTCAGCTCAAGTCATGATCTAGAGGTCCTGGGATCGAACCCCGCATCAGGCTCCAACTTCAGTAGGGAGTCTGCTTTAAGAGTCTCTCTCCCGGGGCGCCTGGGTGGCTCAGTGGTTTAAAGCCTCTGCCTTCGGCTCAGATCATGATCCCAGGCTCCTGGGATTGAGCTCCGCGTCGGGCTCTCTGTTCAGCGGGGAGCCTGCTTCCTCCTCTCTCTCTCCCTGCCTCTCTGCTTGCTTGTGATCTCTCTCTGTCAAATAAATAAATAAAATAAAATCTTTAAAAAAAAAAAAAAGTCTCTCTCCCTCTCCTCACCCTGCACATGCTCTCTCTCCCTCTCTCTCTAAAAATAAATAAATCCTTAAAAAAACAAATAAATAAAATTCAGAAATCAGTTTTTAAAAGAAAATAAAAAGTATATACCATTTGAAATTAGATTTATGTACTGTTAGAAATAATGTTCCCTCCAGAACTCTGTTGGAATCTTTAAAAATTAGATAGAATAGTGTTGTAAAAATGAATATCAAACTTATTTCATGGAAATTAAATTAATTTCATGGAAATCAGTCAGGATTTAATTACTATGTTCTGTGTGATTTTAGGTAGAGCAGCCTAATTTTTCTTATCTTGCAGAGTTCTAATCATTATATTATCTCTCTTCCATGTGTTTTAGCATCTTTTTCTAAATTCTGGCAGTCAGAAGCTCTTTTTAATTTAATTTTATTTTTTTATTTTTGTGTATTTAGTTGACAGACAGAGATCACAAGTATGCAGGGAGGCAGGCAGAGAGAGAGGAGGAAGCAGGCTCTCTGCGGAGCAGAGAGCCTGATGCAGGGCTCGATCCCAGGACCCTGGGATCATGACCCGAGCCGAAGCCAGAGGCTTCAACCCACTGAGCCACCCAGGCGCCCCTAGAAGCTCTTTTTTTTTTTTTTTTTTTAAGATTTTATTTATTTGTGAGAGACAGAGAGAGAGAACGAGTTGGGGGGAGGGGCAAAGGGAGAACCAGGGGAACAAGGAGCCCAATGTGGGACTTGATCCCAGGACCCCGGATTATGACCAGTGCCGAAGGCAGATGCTTAACCAACTGAGCCATCCAGGTGCCCAGAACCTCTTCTTTTTTGCATGCCTCTATGGTGCTTAATTTTGTGCTAATGATGTATTCAATAATTATGGAATTCGATTGTTAAATTCAGATTTTGTGACTTTACTCAGGCTCAAGTAGATGAAGGAGTCCCTCTGAGGATTTGCTTATCTCAATTCTGTAAATGGGTTCAGAAGATTCAGCAACAGAAGAAAATTATTTTTGCTACTGGGATTTCAGATCTGCCTAATTCCGAAGTAAAATTATGTGCATTTGTTACTTGGTCAGGTAAAAAAACAAATTGTATCTATCAATCATAAATGAGTGGAATAACCACTGTGAATTCTTTATCTGTAGTAAGAATTGTACTTGTTAACCTCTTAGGCCTTGAAAAGAAATCTCAGCGCCTAACAGATGTTAACCAAGGAAAATAAATTTATTCATATTTTTCAAATTTTACCATCCTGGGATACTTTAAAATTTTTTAAGACTTAACCCTAAGAATTTTTCTAGATTGTACCTCTTTGTTCTTCTGGCTCCAGGCAAAGATGATTTAGTGAAAACTCTTATGCTACTTTCTACAACCTTGAATTAAAAAGAGTCTTCATTCCACTCACATCCTTTGCTTTATACTTTCATATTAGGAAAAAATGGGCCATTTAAGTAGATCTTTTGTATGCCTATGATACGGCATTGCAATTAATAGTCATTGATAGCAAGGTTGTGCCATTGTTAGTCATATTTTTGGTTTTAGGTTTCTATAAGATGTCTGGTTTCTCAATTACATTAGTATTTTCTAGAATGTTGAAAGCAGATAACCTTCTCCAGGCCTTGTAACTTGATACCTTACTCTTCTTTCTGAGATACTCAGTGTTTTTAATTGGGTGTTTAAGGAATCATTTTGAGACTTAGTTACCAACCTAATTTCTTAATAGTAAATTATGTAAAGTGAATAATTGTTAGATATTAACAGCAAATAAATTCTGTTTTGTTTTATATAGTATATTGTTATAGTATATACAGTATAGTTTATATTCTCTATATAGTACATATTATACTTTGGTATATAGTATGTAATGATAGTATACTATATACACATAAAGTGTATATAAATTTGTATATAAACGTGTCATTTTTAAAATTTAATTTATTTTTTTAAGATTTTATTTATTAAAAAAATAAAAATTAAAAATTAAAAAAAGATTTTATTTATTTATTTGACAGACAGAGATCACAAGTAGGCAGAGAGGCAGGCAGAGAGAGGAAGGGAATCAGGCGCCCTGCTGATCAGAAAGCCCGATGCAGGGCTCCATCCCAGGACTCTGGGATCATGACCTGAGCGGAAGGCAGAGGCTTTAACCCACTGAGCCACCCAGGCGCCCCTAAATGTGTCATTTATATAAATATTATATTCTATGTGTTATTTCTTTCTAAATCTTACATAATATTTCAACCTTTTATTTATAAATGATTTATATTTATATTTACATATTTATATTATATATTTTATATTATATATTTATATTTATATTTTATATATAAATATAAATATATTGTTTATTTATTATATTTATTTATATTATATATTTATAGTATTAAATTTATATTTATAAATATAAAAACTGCTGGCATCATTAAATTTGTTCTATTTTAATATACTTAATGCAGACTGGGACCTGGGGGTTTGCCTGGAGTATGAGTGTAAAAGAAAACAGCTGATAAAACCCATGTTCTTAAATTCTTGGATTGATCTCAGAGTAACTTACAAGGTAAGGGTCAAAAATGGGGGCATAGTCACTTTCCTTCTATGGAAAAATGATTAAACTTCATCCCATGCAAGGGTATAGGTTACTATAAATAAATATTTTTTTAAACTTTAAACTTTCACATAAATACATTTTTTTGAAGATTTTATTTATTTATTTGACAGAGAGAGATCACAAGTAGGCAGAGAGGCAGGCAGAGAGGGGGAAGCAGGCTCCCTGCTGAGCAGAGAGCACGATGCGGGGCTTGATTCCAGGATCCTGGCATCATGACCTGAGCCAAAGGCAGAGGCTTTAACACACTGAGCCACCCAGGCACCCCCATAAATACATTTCTTAAAGAATGTAAAAATGACAACAAAATAAGCATATTCCAAGTCTAATAGAATGAAAAATTATGAAAAGTAAGTGGTTAATACATAGTTTTTCTTTTTTTTTTTAATACATAGTTTTTCTAATAGTAACTTTTTTTTTTTTTTTTTGATATGTTTCTTTTATTTGGTTAGATTTTCTATAGAAGAAAACCAAAAGGACTGAGTGGTGCCCTGCAGGAAGTGGGAATAGAATTCTTAGGACGAGAACATTCTGGTTAGTATAAATTGAAAGTAATTTTATTATGTAAGTTTTCTTACTTCTATAGTCTTTCATATGAATCTCGTATTTTTGGTGATGTCATTCAATTTTATTATGTAAGTTTTCTTATTTCTATAGTCTTTCATATGAATCTTGTATTTTTGGTGATGTCATTAATAAGGAGTATCCTTTCAGGCTAAAGAAGTTCCTAGTCTATACAATTCAAAGATGTCTGACTTTCAAATTATACTACCATAACGTAGTATAAGATAAAGACTGCCATCTAGTGGCTTTCTGGTTGCTAAAAAGAATGAGAATTAGCTAAATCAGATGGAGATTAAACAAACGCCCAAATTAGTGAATTAGTGAAAAAACTGAATAAGACCGTTAGATTACTCACAAAGCATGGTCCCTGCAGAATGTTGCTTGCATTTTTTTGAACTGTAACAAATTTTTATCTCCTCTGTAAATGTGGGAGATCTTGTCTTTTGTTGGTAAGCTTGCCACAGCATTTGCTAGTCCAATTTATCATAATTAAAATTAGTAGATGATCGTAAAACTAATAGTATGTTCCAATGTTAATTATGATTTCTTATTTTTGCTATATTTCTTTACACTGTTACTATTAAATTCAGTGTTTGTTATCTATTTCCTCAGGGTTGGATGATTCTCGGAATACTGCTCTGCTTGCTTGGAAAATGATCAGGGATGGTTGCTTAATGAAAATTACAAGGTCCTTGAACAAGGTTAGTGGTGTCTTGCCTCTTTATCCTGTCATCTCAAACTCCAGAAGTAATCGTAGGTTCATTGAAATATAGATATCATGTGTGGAATCCTTGATAAATCAATGAATGATGACATTTTTCTTTTTTGTCAAATCATATAATGTGTACTAAAGAGATTATGAATGCATAGTTTCTAAAGCTATTTGATTTGTCTGTGGAATCATAGGTTCCCACTAAGAAGAATTCCAGCGTTTTCACCAGAAATTTGAATACGAATGAAGTTGAAGAAAGGTCAGCCTGCAACAGTAGCATTCAGGGTCTGAGCATATATGATAGGGAGCCTAAAAATACAGTAAATCCTCATGAAAAAGTTCAAATGAGGTCAGTTGGTGTAAATTCTCCTATAAAGGTACAGCAAGATCAGTTCCAACTAAAAAACAATGTAAAAGCAGCTCTTCATAATGCCAAAAGCTATTTATCTCTTTTTAATACAAAGTCCTCTACTTCTGTGGAGCAGTTGCCGTCTGCCAGCTTGAATACACCTATGCAGAAGCACATAAGAAACGAACACCTTGCATTTAGTACCAAATCTAAGTCTTCAGCAATTGGTTCAGAATTGGTACTTGTATCAACTACCATTTCATCTGTTAATCATGTTTCTGATACAGAAATGAGTTCTGCTCTTGATTGTTTACCTATGTTGGCTGATTGGGAGGATGTAGCTTTACTGCCAGCATCTCAGCCTGAGCAAAGTATAGATTGTATACCTTCCATTAGTGACTCAAACCTAGATACTTCATTTAATTCTGTAGAAAGATTAATGGTTTTAAAAGAAGGCACAGAAGAAACCCCTCAAAAATCTGGGACCTCTAAGTCTGTCGTATATAAGAGTCCACATACTACTATTTATCATGTGGAAGAAGCCAAAGATCCAGATTCAGATGTTTCTGACTTTAAATTACCTGAATGCAAATCAAGTAGCTTCAACAGTGTTAATGCCACTATGTCTCATCCTTCAGTTTTGGGGAAATACCCCCACCTTTCAGGTAGTACTAAAAGGAATCTATCCAGTCCTCTATCTTTCCCGCCAGCAAAAAAACAGACCCTCATTGTTCATGAAGAAAAATCTACATCATCTGATGGCTCCCCAGTGAGAAATTGTCCCCGGAAGGTCCTCCCCTCTATCTTAGCTTCTACAGTTAACCTACAAGAGCCTTGGAAGAATGGGAAAATGACACCTCCTTTATGCAAGTGTGGCCGAAGATCTAAGAGACTTGTTGTTTCTAATAATGGACCAAACCATGGGAAAGTTTTCTATTGTTGTCCAGTTGGGAAATACCAAGAAAACAGAAAGTGTTGTGGTTATTTCAAATGGGAACAAACACTTCAAAAGGAAAGAGCCAACAGCAGAGTTCTGTCTCATTCTCCAAGGGGACTCACTTTTAGTTCCCCAGAAGTAAGCCATATATGTAACAGAAATGTAAATTTTTCTAAAAATCCATTGAGACTCAGACCTTCAATGAGGAATTGATAAACTTTCTCTACATTGAAACTATGTTTTTACTTTAATTTGATTTTTTGTGTGATAAAGAGAAAAAAGTATATAGGGCTACAAGTTATGGGGACTTAGCATATCTTGAGTTCTATAGACTATATTGGGGCTATTATACACACACACACACACACACGTACATACATACACACACACTGTAAATAGAGAAAAAAATCAATTTCACAGTCTTCTAATTTCATCAGTTATCTAACATGTGTCTTCCGTTCATGTATGAATCCTGATTGTTCCTTGAATTTCCAAACATCATGAGTATTCTGATAATAGTTGTACACTGTTTTATTTTTATATATTAACACTTGCCAAATTTATCATACTTTTTTGAAGAACCACTAATTAAATATTTTGTATACTATATTTGATTAGATACAAGCAACAGTAGTATGGTGTTCTTTTAGTTAGACCCTGAAATGAATTTAAACTATTTTTAAGTTACTTGAATAAAAATGTGACTAATAAAAATCCCTAGCCTGTTTTCAGGTAGATACTTAGACTTTGAGAATTATGATCATCATCTAACTGATATTTTTATTTTTCTAAAAACTTTTATAATAAGTTGTTTAGTTTTATTTCAAAACTTGAAGATTTGTTCTGATTTGTATATCAACGAGTCAGAAGAATGATTCAACCAACAGGTCAGAAATTTGATTCAGATACTATATGCTTTAAAATTTTCTTAGCAATTCATGGCATTGTTTTCATATTGCCAAGATCATAAGAACATTGGCACTAATGCAGAGGAATTTTATTCTAAATAAATATTCTAAATATTTTATTTCAGAATTCAGCCTCTGATGTTATACCCACAAGATATTTTATTTTACTTTTTTTTTTTTTTAAAGATTTTATTTATTTATTTGACAGAGAGAGATCACAAGCAGGCAGAGAGGCAGGCAGAGAGAGAGGAGGAAGCAGGCTCCCTGCTGAGCAGAGAGCCCGATGCGGGGCTCAATCCCAGGACCCTGAGATCATGACCCGAGCGGAAGGCAGTGGCTTAACCCACTGAGCCACCCAGGCGCCCCATTTTATTTTACTTTTTTTAAAGTTTTTTTTTTTAAGTACTCTACATTAGAACCCTGATATCAAGAGTTGCATTCCCGACTGACTGAGCCAGCCAGGTGTCCCAACCGCAAGATATTTTAAATCAACAACTTACAAATATATTACCACATTTGTCATCACCTCCCTATACTCTTGTGGTTTTGACAGAATCTTTGTTTTATAGATACTGTGATAAATAATAGAACAGATTTAAATTGTTTCCCATTCTTTCTTCCTCAGTTCATTTCTTTTGATCTTCCCGCTGATAGTCTTTGGCAGCTCTTGAACAAATTCCACCTGTTGGGATCAAGGGAAAAAATTAGCCCATAAGTTTTCATCTTTAGACAAAGTAAGTTATATAGCAGTTATTATCTCTAGGTGAAAGAATTAGGACACCCATTTGGGTCAGTGTTGGTAACAACCAGAAACGGAGATGGGTGTTATTGAGGAGATGTCGCTTAGTATTTAGAATTTACTACAAGTCCAGTAAGCCAAATGACCCAGCAAATTATGTCAAGAGATTCATTTTAATCTCAAAGAGTCTGATTCTTATCCATGTCATTAGTTCAGTTTGGAATATTTGGTGTAGCATGTTTGAGGAGAATATTTATTAAAATTAAAAAAAAAACAGCTGAAATTTGTCAGAATGCTAAGCAAATTGTCATCATAATTAGAATACCTACCTTTCTGGGATATTTGTAAGGTGCTGTAGTTTTTTTTACATGCTCCTGAATCTCCTTTTTTAGTTGTTCTTGATCATGTGACATGTAATCAGGGGCCAGAACAATAAAAGCCTTTACTACCTGCAAAAAATATTTGAAACACCAGGAAGATGAGTTGTATATTTTTATGTTTCTCTAACTGGGAATCTAAGTGCTTGCTGGGGTGGGCCAGAAGGCTTCATAGTGTTTAATCCCAGCTCTGTGCTCTTAAGTCAGCCAGTTTGAGTCTCATAACTCTTGTTCTGTAATACAAGAGAGTTTCTGGGACCTCTGCTTTGTTAATGATCTTAATGAATTAGAACTTTCTCATCTAACTACATCTTGAACTCTGCCCTCTGACCTGCTTCTGTTTCTGAGCTGTCTTTGTTCTTGACTTCTTACCTCATCTTTTATCTCCTTCAAGAAAATTTCCTTTTAGAAAAAAAAACATTTTCCTTTTAGGAACTCAACAATGCACTAAGCACAGCCTTTTGGGTAACATACTTATCCTGGTCTAGCCTAGTTTCTAGGTCCCTACCCTCATTGTGGCCCTTATAAAGAGTATTCACACTGAGTTTGCTGTATCCTTGTTGAAGGGAACAGTTCATTCAGGCTGTGCACTCTTTATTCCAGAGGTACTTATGTTGATGATAAGGTTGTGAAAATTCCAGCAGACACTTTGCTATTACTCCGACCAATTTACCTGACCTTGAGGAACAAGAGTAGAAAATGGTGGTGGTCTTGCTGTCTAATTGGCAGAAGACAGGGAGGACTTCATCACTTTATGCTCACAAATCCTGTTCTCAAAGTTCACTCTTCTTTGAAATGTTTTGGAAATCCTGCCCTGCCCAGAGTATTTAGACATTCTATCTATAATTTTATCATACCCATTTTTTGATATTTCATAAAATGTTTTTGTGTTTATACTGGCTCTTCTGCTTTATCAATAAAAAAATTTAACCTTGCTAGAGGTGACTCATTCAGAGGCAGATTATTTTAAGAAATAATGTTTGTAATTATTGGCTTGAATATTGATGACTTCTACACTTTGGATAACGTCCACTGTATCTTTGTAAAAGTTTTGTGTTTTTTTTTTTAAGATTTATTTACTTATAGAGAAAGCACACCCATGCACCCAGGAGTTGTAGGAGGGGCAGAGGGAGAGAATCTCAAGCAAACCCCACACTTAGTGCAGAGCTCAACTTGGAGCTCAATCTCATGACCTGACCTGAAATCAAGAGTTAGATGCTCAACTGTCTAAGCCACCCAGGTGCCCCTATAAAAATCTTTATAAACCAGGGCACCTGGGTGGCTCAGTGGGTTAAGGCCTCTGCCTTCAGCTCAGGTCATGATCCCGGGGTCCTGGGATCGAGCCCCACATCGGGCTCTCTGCTCAGCGGGGAGCCTGTTTCCTTCTCTCTCTCTGCCTGCCTCTCTGCCTAATTGTGATCTCCGTCTGTCAAATAAATAAATTAAAAGAAAAAAAAAACCTTTAAAAATCTTTATAACCGTTACAGAAGATCATAAATTAATATGGAGTGCCCTAACATGATTAAGAGCATGACAGCTCAGAAACAGAAGGTTCAAATCACACTTTGTTGTGTAATTTTGGGAATGTTAGGATACCTCTCTGTGCTTGTTTCCTTCTCCAAAAAGAGAGGTTGTGAGGATTAAATAGGGCCTATACAGGCCCTGTGTAGGGCTTAATAATACCTGGAACATCAGAAGAAGTCATCAGAAATATTAGGTATTAGTTGTAGTAGTAGTAGAAGTACAACAATTTTTTTTTTTACTAAAATCCTTAAGTTGGCTTCAAAGTTTCTCTAAAATTCTCTGCAAAATGTTGCATTTTTATAAGAGTCTATAGTTGTGCCGTTTAATATGGTAGCCACTTGTAACTTTAAACTTAATTAAAATGAAATAAACATTTTCTAAGTCATACCAGCCACATCTCAAGTGCTTTATAGCCATGTGTATTGTATCAAATGGTACAGATATAGAATATTTCCATCATTGCATAAGTCCAATAGTGACCTATGGCCTTCAAATTACAAAGAACATTGTGATCCTACTGGTGGAGTTAAGAGTGAAAGGATAAACTTCAGTAATCACAGAATCAGTTCCCTGATCTATGGAATATTGGAGGCCTTGCTTGGCAAAGGAGACCTGAAGAGTAGCATGGAACCTTTAAACCCAAACTACCCTGTGATCAGCCTCAGTAAGAATGAGCTTTCAAGCGTATATACGACTCTTGATCTTGGGATCATGAGATGAACCTCTCACTGGGCATAGAGCTTGCTTTAAAAAAAAAAAAAAAAGGGGGGGAATGAGCTTTCAGGACTCTCTTATTCACAGCTTATTTCCTGAATCTTCCACCCATCCATGTACCCAGCCTACTTCTGGTTGCCTTAGTTGCTATCTTTTTTTTTTTTTTTAAGATTTTATTTATTTATTTGACAGAGAGAGATTACAAGTAGGCAGAGAGATAGGCAGAGAGGGGTGGGGAAGCAGGATCCCCACTAAGCAGAGAGCCCGATGCAGGGCTCAATCCCAGGACCCCGAGACCACGACCTGAGCAGAAGGCAGAGGCTTAACCCACTGAGCCACCCAGCGCCTCTTTAGTTGCTATCTTTGACCTTCCTTCCACCCCCTGATACCTGATGCCGGCCTAGCCTCCTCAGCTACACTAGAGACCATGTTGGTTTCCAGACCTGGGTAATAACTTAATACCATCTAGCTGATATCTGGCATCCTATCCTGCTGTGAGCCTGGGTTGTTGGCATTCACACCATCCCTCTATGGAAGGATACAAATTCCTTATATATATTTTCAGTCTTATTTGTAGCAGTTCTTTCTGACTAGCATATTTACTAATGACTGTCTGACTTGGAGTTAGTCATTTGGGTAATTCTGTTTCAGTGAACTGCTGAAAAGTATGTGTTAGACTGCCAACAAATTATAAAGTGGAGATGAATTTTTTTTTTTTTTTTTTTTTTTTTTTACCTCTCCCCTGATGGGGTCTGGGCTGCTGACAACAGCAGCCTCTACAACAGCAGGATGCTCAATCAGCGCACTTTCCACCTCAAATGGTCCAATTCTGTAACTGGGAGATAAAACATATAAAGGTGAGCAGCAGATCCACTCCAGAACACCAATGATCAGTTAATGTAGACATATACACAGATGAAAAATTACCCAGAGGACAATATGATATCATCTGCTCTTGCAACAAACCAGAAATAGCCATCTTCATCCACATAGCCCCTGTCCCCAGTGATGTAGAAATTGCCTCGTAGTGTTGAAGCTGTTTTTGTAGGACTATCCTGTGAAACAAATAGCATTTTGTTAGTATTACTGTGAATGTGATTCTTCTGTTCATTTGGAATTTTAAATGTTCAAGGGAGGGGGAAAAAAAAAGTCATCTCTTTGAGAAGACTGGGAATGAAGAGGTGCCAGCACATGAAATAAAGATGAAATTCCATTGTTGCCCAGTCAAAGAAAGATAAACTATAGTTACAAAGACTAGGCATGCTGCCATCCTGACAATTTTCTTTTTTAAAGATTTTATTTAGGGGCGCCTGGGTGGCTCAGTGGGTTAAGGCCTCTGCCTTCAGCTCGGGTCATGATCCCAGCGTCCTGGGATCGAGCCCCACATCGGGTCTCTGCTCCATGCAGAGCCTGCTTCCTCCTCTCTCTCTGCCTGCCTCTCTGCCTACTTGTGATCTCTGTCTGTCAAATAAATAAAATCTTAAAAAAAAAACAATAAAAGGGGCACCTGGGTGGTTCAGTGGGTTAAGGCCTCTGCCTTCAGCTCAGGTCATGATCCCAGGGTCCTGGGATCGAGCCCTGCATCGGGCTCTCTGCTTAGTGGGGAGCCTGCTTCCCCCTCTCTCTCTGCCTGCCTCTCTGCCTACTTGTGATCTCTGTCTGTCACATAAAATCTTTAAAAAAAAAAGATAAAGATTTTATTTATTTATTTAGAGAGAGAGAGGGAGATAGCAAGGGGGGAGCACGAATGGGGTTGGGAAGGGCAGACACAGAGGGAGAAGGAGACTCCCCGCTGAGCAAAGATCCTGAGACATGGGGGCGGGAGGGCCGCAGGGAGAGGGAAAGAATCTTAAGCAGATCCCATGTTGAATGCAGAGCGCAATGCAGGGTTCATTCCCGTGACCCTGGGATCACAACTTCAGGGGAAACCAAGAGTTGGTTGCTTAACCAACTGAGCCACCACGTGCCCCCCTGAGAATTTTCTTTGATGGATCACTAAACACTGCAGGAGTTGAGGATCCAAGGTGTGGGGTAATTAAGTCTTTTGGGTGGTTAATACTTAACACTGGGAGGAAAAGAGAGAGGTGAATACTCAGAGTTAAAAGAAAGCACCAGCACCTAATAAAGAATAAACTTTGCTTTTACATTTTGTTTTGTTTTACACAAAAACAGAACTGGTTCTGTAACTTTGGTAGGAGGAAAAAAGGAAGTATTGTTGTATTATGTAAAATTCATGGACAAGTAGGGATGCCTGGGTGGCTCAGTCAGTTAAGCATCTGCCTTCGGCTCAGGTCATGATCCCAGGGTTCTGGGTTCTGTCCCTGTTTCTCCCTCTCCTCTGCCTACTGCTCCCCCTGCTTGTGCTCTTTTTATCTCTGTCAAATAAATAAAATCTTTAAAAAAAATTTTAAATTCACTGATAAGTAGAACCCGGACCTTTGATTATATCAATGTAAACTTCACTATAACATGTATACTTCCATCATAGATGAAAATAGGTTTGCAAACAGTAGGGAACTTGGAAGGCCTCTAGTGAAAGACATTTCTTAATCTCACTGCCCCATTTTCTATCCCTCTCACTCAAGAAGGGAGACTAAGCAGATTTCAGGAAAATGATTAGGTACTGTTTTACTGTGTAGAGGATGAGTATATACAAAAAGGCTGTCTTTCTAGGGCTCCCTTCTCTTACCTTCATGAACCTGGAGCAGTGATCTAGCCTTGGGAGAACAAGCATTTGGATGTTTCTTTGATTTCCTCTCTGAGGAATTAATATTCAGGACAATGAATCTCTCAAGATATGTCTAAGTACCTATCCTGGCTGTGTTTTATGGCAAATAGGGATCATTACCAAGCACTTTTGAGAAATAAGTAGGAAATAAAAGGTTATTTAATAAGTCTCTTACTATATAATGAGCAAAAAGGCCAAATGGTCGGTTAGGTAGAACTTGAATGCCAATATCTCCTTCTTGTCCAGGAGGTAGAACATTGCCATTTACATCTAAAATCTAGGATAAAATAGAACAATTGATTTAAGGAAATGTTTATGTAAGGTGCATGTTAAAAATTTTACTTTGCATGTTTTGTATTTTGCCATTTAAGAATGCAGACTTCCAAAAAAAATTTAAGTATACTTTAAATTCTCAAGAGAAATGTATTTATTTAAATTCTTAGTGCAAAATACATGATAAAATGCAAGTTAGCAAAATATAAAGAATAAAAATCATCTTTAATTCTATCTAACAATAATCTCATTTTTGGTCATATCTTTTGAGACAATATAGAGATAGGAAAAAAATAGGATCACTTTATAAATACACTGTTTTACAACCTTCTTTTATCATGCAGTATGTCTTGGTTGTCTTATTCTCAAGTAAATATTTCATTACTGGTTTACAAACGTTGTTTAACTATGGAACAAATAAAACCTTACTTCAGGAGCCCAATATAAGTAAGCAGAGAAAGGGGAATGTTCTCTGGTTGAAACACTGCTGAGTATGCCAGAAGCCTTGTTTTCTTACCTTTTCCCGAGTCCTCCTAGTTCCCTGAAGTACCAACAGTGAAAAACTGACAGTAGCTAGCATTACTTAGGCCCTGACTGGATTCCAACTAATAAATGCTACAGCTCTAAGTACTTTACATATATTGTTTTCTTTAGTCATTACAACAGTCCTATCTGGTTAGCACTATTACCATGCTCAAATGAGGAAACCAAGGTGCAGAGTTTAAGCAACACAGTGTATGACTGAGATGGAATTAAATCTCAGCAATCACACTCCAGATCTTGTCCTCTTCGTCACAACACTTCTCTGCAGTCTCTCCAGTGAGTTCAATCCAATTTTTAAAAACCCAGATTAACGTTTTTCAGGCTGGCCACTTAACTCATGTACCACATTTTGCCTTAAATAACTTTTAGCTATCTTTAAATATGAAACCCTCTACTTTCTTTTACGTACATCCACCAAGAGTCTTGTAATCTGAGATGTGGCTTGTGTGGAAAATAGGGGTATAATACTTATTTGGCATTTTCCAGATGGAAATGGGCTCTGTCCCCAAAAGAAACTTGAAAGGCAGAAGAATTCTAAATGTAAAATCTTACTTTTACATTCTTATAAATGAAAAATATATAAATTCCCACCCAGTCATCTAAAGAACATTTGGCTCCAGTATCAAGGAATTACTGATGGAAAGGAGATATTTTAAGAGTTCCAGATACTGGGGTGCCTGGGTGGCTCAGTGGGTTAAGCCTCTGCCTTCCGCTCAGGTCATGATCTCAGGGTCCTGGGATCGACTCTCATCGGGCTCTCTGCTCAGCAGGGAGTCTGCCTCCCTCGCCCTCTCTGCCTGCCTCTCTGCCTACTTGTGATCTCTCTCTGTCAAATAAATAAATAAAATCTTAAAAAAAAAAAAAAGAGTTCCAGATACTTAAAATAGACTACTCTTTAATGGATAGGAAGAGGCAAATGTTCTATTTCTGGAGAGAATCTCCGGATTATGCAAGTGGCCTTAAAAATCTTTAGACATGAAAATTACGGGCTTTGGGCTTTGAAGTTGCAAGAATCTGATACCCAGCTGGTGGGAGCACATCCCCAGATGCCACACTGTCATTGCAGATGCTCTTAGCTAGGTAACAAGAGAAGTAATAGGAGCCCTTGGGAAAAAGTTGAAAATGGAGGTAGCTGCCTTAGGGAAATATGCACATCAAAACTACAAGGAGATATTACTTCACACCCATTAGTTTAGCTGCTATCAAAAACACAGAAAGTATTGGTGAAGATGTGGAAAAATTGGAACCCTTGTGCACTGTTTTGGGAATGTAAAATGGTATAACCACTGTAGAAAACAGTATGGCAATTCCTCAAAAAATTAAAAATAGAATTACCATATGATCCAGCATTTCTGCTTCTGTGTATATACCCAAAAGAATTAAAAGCATGGCCTTGAAGAGATATTTATATTTGTTGATCACAGCACTATTCACAATAGCTAAAATGTGGAAAGAACCCACCCATTGACAAATGAACAGAAACGCAAAATGTGTTATATCCATACAATGGGATATTATCCAGCCTTAAAAAAGGAAGGAAATTCTGACCCATGCTACATGGATAAAACTCGAGGACATTATGCTAAGTTGTAATTAGCCAGTCACAAAAAGATAAATACTGGTTCCACTTAATACGAGGTACTTATAAATAGTAGTTACAAAGATAGAAAGTAGAATGATGGTTGCCGGGGCTGGGGACATTGTGGAATGGGAAGTTATTATTTAATAGATATAGTCTCAATTTTACAAGATGAAAAGAGTTATGGAGCTAGATCTTGTTAATAATTGCACAATATTATGAATGTATTTAATACCACTGAGCTATGCACTTAAAAATGGTCAAGATGGTATATTTTATGTGTATTTATTATAATTTAAAATTGGGGGGGAAATTAGCTAGTAATGCTGACTGGGAATGCATGACAGAACAATTCTCCTCTTGGTCACACCCTTTCTGCATTCAAATGTAGTTGTTCCAGGGACGCCTGGGTGGCTCAGTTGGTTGGACGACTGCCTTCGGCTCAGGTCATGATCCTGGATTCCCGGGATCGAGTCCCGCATCAGGCTCCCATCTCCACGGCGAGTCTGCTTCTCTCTCTGACCTTCTCCTCGCTCATGCTCTCTCTCACTGTCTCTCTCTCAAATAAATAAATAAAATCTTTAAAAAAAAAATGTAGTTGCTCCAGAAAACCACTGGGCTCAAATTAGTGGGGTGGTGGTGATACACTGCTTTTGGATCACTGAGTACAGCTGCACCTGTGAGACCTTCACAGCAATGCATATTGGGAATTGTTATTAAGAGGGAAGAAAGGAACACAGTTTTGTGAAACGCTAGCTTGATTACTTACAATGCAGACATAATAATGCTTAATTACCAATTTTTCTTTCTCTAACCTAAGGCAGCCTATAAACCAATGAACCATTGTTAAGCCTGTTTACCGAATGTAACCAGGACTCCTCTACCATCTCTTCTTAGAAAAGCTTTTCAAAGGAAGAAAATGCAAGGGAAAGATGAATGATAATAATGGCACCTATCTTTTAGGTCTATATTATGTGCTGAACACTTAGTTCTTTAGAGATGTTATCTCATTTAATCCTCACAAGAAGCCTATGATATCAGTTCTGTTATTATTAGGTCAACCAACCACCAGTTTGCCTGGGACTGAGGCAGGAGAGTGTTTCTGGGATGTATGTCTTTCCATGCTAACACCAAGTAAGTCCCAGGCAAACTGAGGCAAGTTGGTCACCCTAGTCCCTCTATTACAAATCAGGAAACTGAGACTTTAGTAACTTCCCCAGAGACACTCAGCCAAAGACACTCAGCTCATGAAGCTCAGAGCCAGACCTGAACCACCAGGCAAACCTACTTTTAGACGAGGTTCTCATCAAAGTTAAAGCAAGGGCGAGAACCCAGATCTGGCTTATTCCATAAGTTGACATCAGCAGTCCATTTCAAACTTACTCAAACTTACCCGATCGTAAGAATTGGGATGCTTATTTAAAACACAGATTTCAGGGTCCCACCTAAAAGGGGCCTGAAAATTAGTATTTTTTTTAAAGATTTTTTATTTATTTATTTGACAGACAGAGATCACAAGTAGGCAGAGAGGCAGGCAGAGAGAGAGGGGGAAGCAGGCTCCCCGCTGAGCAGAGAGCCCGATGCGGGGCTCGATCCCAGGACCCTGAGATCATGACCTGAGCCGAAGGCAGAGGCTTTAACCCACTGAGCCACCCAGGTGCCCTGAAAATTAGTATTTTTTAACGAGTATCTGTGTAAACCTTATGATCAGAAAAGCCTGGGAAGATTGATTTTATCTATAATTACCCCTCATTTAGGTTTGGTTTTGTGTGTTCTGTAAATTCATCTATTATGTGTTTTCATTGCTCTGCCATGGTTTTCTCTTATGTATTAGTCTAAGTTCCTTTGGCTATGCCTAGCTTTGGGTCTGCTGATCTGAGAACAATTCTAACCCTGTCCAAATTGTGCAGATGGGATAATAGGATGCTCCTTAGGGATCAGGTGGTAATAACAGCCATGGTTACAGAGAGCCAGGAAATGGCCAGGCAGGGCTGGGTAAGGAGAAAAATACTTCAGCTACTATAAACTGTAGCTTTCTTTGGCCTACTTGAACCCCTTAGAAGGTCTTAACCTCTCTTGTTAGAAAGGGCAATGTGATGGTTGTGGTTAAAAGTACAGATCCCAGAACCAGATTGCTTGGGATTGAATCCCAGCACTAGTAGCTCCTAGCTATGTGACCTCTGGTGAATTCCTTCCCTCTCTGTGCCTCATCTATAAAATGGTTCTTTTTTATTTTTTATTGACATGCAGTTGATATACAGTGTTATATTAGTTTTAGGTGTACAACATAGTGATTCAACAAGTTTATATATTATGCTATGCTTACCACAAGTGTAGCCACCCTGTGTCACCATACAATACTACACAATACCGTTGAGTATATTCCCTATGCTGGTCTTTTATCTTTGTAACTTACTTATTCTATAATTGGAAGCCTGTATCTCCTACTTCCCTTCAGCCATTTTAAGATGGTTCTTATATTGGTAATGTCTCTCATAAGTTCTTTCTGGGAATCAAATAGGTTAATATTTATAAAATGCCTAGAACTGCTTGGCACAAGAAACTTCTTTGCAAAAAAAAAAAAGTGGAGACCATTAAATTAATGTCTCTAATCCATTTCCATTACATGGAAATTAAGATGTCATAGAAGCAGCATGAAATCATTGCCAAAACTAGGAGCGTAGCAGAGGGTCGAGTGGGGTAAGTGGTCAACGGATTGGGTTGTTAAATATTCTCCTGGAAGGGGATGTACAAACCTTAACATCAAAAGCAGGAGACGGCTTTCCCATTGAGCCAGGCTTAATTTTCATTCCCTTAAAATTTCCGCAGATTAGCACCTAGTTCAGAAGGAAAAAGAATCAAGTAACATTATAAGTAACTTAAAATTCATTCATTCATCTACCATGCATTCATTAAACAAATATTTATTGATGATCATCATTATGATGATGAGCAAGGCTCAAAATAAAACAAATTTCTGCTCTCGTGGAGTGTAGAGATAGACACTAAACAAATACATAAAGTTACAACACTTAGTAAATTGATAATTACTAAAATATCCACATTAATGAAAACATTTGTACCCATATTAGCATGATACTTATTATGCTGCTTCTATTTCATACATCTGTCAATTTTAGGTATTTTAATTTTTGACCAGGCACTACATTCTCATGGTTTATAAATAGAAGCATTATAAAAAGACACTATGAAAAATTTTTCAACCTTTCCCTTATCTGCTCCATTGTATGCCTCCTTTTCCTTACATAATAATCAATCTTGTTAGTAGCTTATTCATTTCCTCTAGAATTCTTTCTTATTCTTATTTCTACAAGCTCTTTAAATAACTCTTTTTAGAAATATACTTGCCCAGGAGTTATCTAGTGAACTCTTAATATTTCAAGTAACAAGGAGCTCAGCATTTTACATTTTTGAGGCAACCCTAAGAGAGTTCCCTCTTACATAAGGGGAAATCTTCCTGTAGATCTAGTATTCTTTCACTTAAAATATATTGTAATGCCTTCACTCTGATCGTCTCTATTGTGGCTTTTCTCAGTAAATGGCTAAACAACTGTATCTGTTACAGGGCTTTTATGCAACTAGCTTCCCTTACAACTTTTTTTTTTTTAACTATTCTTCTAACCACTCACCTTCCTCCCTATCTCTCAATCATAAGGATATAATAAACATGTATTTTAAAATTTATTTATCAGTTATTTATATTTATTTATCAGTTTTTATTTATCCAGCTAAGTTGAGTCCACCCCTGTCTTTTCAATGAGGTCCTATACCGTTTCAGTCTGTCCGTATCCTTCATAGATATCCAGACCTGTCCTTTTTCTCCATTGTTCAGTCACTTCAGGATTGATTGGTTCACCAGCACTCACACAGTGCTTTAAGCTTTTAAATTTATAGCTTCTCAGAAAACAGGTAAGTTAAATTTTGGAGAAAAAATGGAGAGAAATGAAAATTAAAGTTATTTCTAAGAAATTCAATGTAAAGTGTGTTTTAGTTCCCTCCTTCCTCCCCTCGCCAATACAAAATAAACAAACCATTCTAACATTGTAAGGTGACTCCTAAAACATCCTTTTTTTTTTTTCCTACTTTTATTTTTTGGGAGTGTATGATTTGTTGCCAAAAAAAAAGCCATGTCACCTCAGGGAAGGTGCTACATGATAACATTTTAAGTCAGTGATTAAAAATTTACCAATTGGGGCACCTGGGTGGCTCAGTAGGTTAAAGCCTCTGCCTTCAGCTCTGGACATGATCCCAGGGTCTTGGGATCGAGCCCTGCATTGAGCCCCACATCGGACTCTGCTCAGCAGGGAGCCTGCCTCCCCCCCTCTCTCTGCCTGCCGCTCTACCTACTTGTGATCTCTGTCAAATAAATAAATAAAATCTTTAAAAAAACAATTTACCAGTTGTGTGGTTAAATTGACTGTGGAATATTATGC